TAATGCTGATGCAGCAAATATCTTGACAAATGGGCCAATAATGCTTATGCTTGTGAAATTGCTACGCCAATCCAAGGCATCAGCATTGCGCGTTCAACTTGCTTCACTAATTGGTCTGTTGATTAGGCACTCTACTTTTGTTGATGACAGCTTGGCTAATTCTGGAATTTTAGGTGCATTGACTGATGGCCTTAGAGACAGGCAGGAAAAAGTGAGGAGGTTTTCCATGGCTGCTTTGGGTGAGTTGCTATTTTATATATCCACTCAAAATGCGGACTGCAGGGATAACAATCAACTTGAATCTCCATCAAAGGATAATAGGACTACTAATGGCTGGCAGGTTAGGTCATTTGAAGCTTGACATCTCTAACGCTAGTATATAACAATTTCAATTTTCTTGATATCTTGCTTGCAACATGGTAATATATCTTTATGCAAATTTGTGTTCTGGTGTCAACTTTTTAAACTTATTCGCCTGCTTTGTAAGTGCACATTTTTCATGCTTAAATTATTTTCACTTGACTGCAGGTTCCAAATTCTTTAATATCATTTGTGTCATCAATGTTGAGGAAGGGTGAAGATGATATAACTCAATTGTATGCATTAAGAACAATTGAGAATATTTGTAGTCAAGGAGGGTTCTGGGTGGGACGTTTGACCAGTCAAGATGTTATTAGTAATCTCTGCTATATCTATCGGGCGGCAGGGAAACAAGAGAGTATGAGGCTTACTGCAGGATCATGTTTGGTGCGCTTAGTTCGTTTTAATCCTCCAAGTATTCAGTCGGTTATAGAGAAACTCTCATTCAAGGATCTAGCTTCTACACTTGTCAAGGGCAGTCCACGAGAGCAGCAAATCAGCTTAAATCTTCTTAACATGGCAATGCTTGGAAGTCATATGTTCACTAATATTGGAAGATACCTTCTACCACTTGCTGAGGATAAAAATCTGATCCCAAGTCTTTTGGCTCTTGTTGAGCAAGGTAGTGAAGTTTTAAAAGGAAAGGCACTTGTCCTTGTGGCTCTCCTCTGTAAGCATGGCAGGAGGTGGCTTCCACACTTCTTCTGTAGCCCAAAGTTACTTTCTGTTGTGGACAGACTGGGAAAAGAGAAGGATGCCTATGTGAAGCAGTGTTTGGATGCGTTTGTGCATATTGTGTCGTCTAGTATTCCAGGTTTATTGGATATAATAACTGGGGATATTCAGCAAATGATGGGAGGAAGGCGCCATGGACATATCTCTGCCCTTACCAGCAGATCTGCTCCAAAAACCAACATTCATTTATTTCCGGTTGTCCTTCATCTTCTAGGAAGTTCAACTTTTAAGCACAAAGTGGTAACAGTACAAGTTTTACGGCAGTTGGCGAATCTAATTAAACTCGTGGAGACACCGTTTCAGGTCTGTGACTAGCCGTTGTGTTTTGTTTCCTTTTAAGAAAAATGCTACCAACCCAGTATATATCGCACTCTTTTCAACATATTTTTATTATTAAATAAAATTTATGGAGGAACTACTAAATGATGCAAGTCTTGCACCTTATTTAGTGGGTCCCATTAATAATCTAAATTCTAAAGTGGGTTAAGAAAAAATTGTCTCGAGTATATTACTAATTTTTTTGCCTTTGAACGGCGTGTTTTCAAGAATTTTGACAGTGGAGCTGCTTAATTTTGTTAGATATTAATTATGCGAAAACATGGAATTGCTTTTTGATTAAGAACATGTTTACGGAAGATTAATGTCTAGGGACGACCGCTCAGAATAAATAATTGATCAAAAGGCAGTTTAAAAAGTTTAAGGCCAATTATATGGTTTTTAAAGAAAGAAAGTTTTAAAGTTAAATATATTTTTAAAATTTTTAAAAAATTATTTAGTATTTTATTTTTCTTAGAAGTTAAAAATAGTAACTTAAAAGAATACAATGATTATTCTTATTAAAAGTTAGTTATTTATTTTTACTGGATCGTTATTGATATCATATATTAGGTCATTTATATTCATGAAATTGAGAAAGAATTTGTGAATGATTATAGTTCTTTTGTTGAATGGTTATTTGTTTTCAGCAGGGAGATAATAGTTGTAAATGAAGTTTTATATTAGATTTATGAAATTATTTGCAAGTAATTGCTTTTTATTGAATCATCGCATGTTCGCTTTGAATTATTAACCACAATAAATGATGCTCTTTTTGTTTAGATACACGAAGTTAGGAAGAAACTTGCGAATGATTATTTAGTGTCACAAAATAGCCATTGCTTTCATTAAAGTTATTTCGGCTCAACAGTTTGTATCTAAATAAATATATTCATGAGGATTAAATATTTCTTCTTAACGATCTTGACATTGATTTTACCCTTGATATAAAGAGCAAGTTTTGTTTAGTTTAAATTTTAGGATTTTATTTAATTTCATTTTTTCAAAGTCTCAGATTTTAATTATGATGCTGGGTTTTCTCGCTAATTTTCACATATTGTTTGGCAAATTAATCTCTCTCATGTTTGACAATGTATACTCGTTATGTGATTGATTGAATCACACTTAGTTGGAAGGCCAGTTAACTTTTAAGTAGCAATTGATATTTGATATTATTGTCTTCTTTGGTTGACTTTCAGGGAAGGGATGACTTCCAAATAACCCTTCTTCGAATTTTGGAATCTATTACAGAAGAATCGCTCGTGATTCTTGGCAATCCTGACATTTTCGTACGTGAAATTCTCCCTAGTTTGACAGTTCTCTATAAGGGTAACAAGGATGGTGATGCCAGATTTTTGTGCCTTAAGATTCTTTTTGATGTGATGATCATTCTTTTGAGTGAACCAATTGAAGAAGAGCAAAGATTGAAGGATCTGAAATTCGTATCAAATATCCGTTTTCTTCCTCTCTACCCGACCTTGATAGAAGATGAAGATCCTATTCCAATCTATGCTCAGAAGCTTCTTGTCATGCTACTGGAGTTCGGTTTTATTACAATTCCAGACATTCTACATCTGAAAACAATTTCACAATGCTTTGAGTTCTTGCTTGGTGATCTCTCAAACGCGAACGTGAATAATGTTAAGCTGTGTCTTGCTCTGGCTTCTGCTCCAGAGATGGAATCCAAATTACTCTCTCAATTAAAAGTGGTTAGGAGGATTGGCAACTTTCTTGAGTTTGTATATGCTAAGGGTATGGAAGATTTGCTGGAACCAACTCTTGGGCTTTGTAGGGCTTTTCTAGCGCGTTCAGTCAGCTGTACAAAAGGCTTCAGTTACACAACAAAACTAACTCTCTTAGGTGACTCTCCTCCTGAGGTTAGTGGTGGGGTCGTTGATCCTCAGCAATGCATAAAAGATATAATGGACTTCGGAAGCAATGTTGGTGTCTTGCTAGAGTTGAGTGCCTCTACAGAGACCAATATTGCCGATATAGCTTCTGAATGTGTTGTTTTACTACTCAAGGCAGCTCCTAGAGAAGCCACCACTGGCATATTAACCAATCTTCCCAAGGTCACAGTGATCTTAGAGTCCTGGAGTAGAGGCATTCCTCACTCAATGGTGCAGCGAATGCTTCATGCTTTAGGTTATGCTTGCAAGCAATGCTTACTGCATGCTATGATATTATCAATATCCAAACTCGAGATCTCAAGAATTGAAGTCATAGTTTCTGAACTCAAAAGTTCAGGTGTACCAGCTTTAGCCAAGACTGCAGGGCTGGCAGCCTTGGAATTGCAGCGGCTGCCTCGCTGCATTTGAATAATTGTAGGCATCATGTCATGTCCTATTCCTCTTTTTCAAATCTGTAACTTCTCTAGTTTACCTTTTACCCTTGTATTTCAGCCCAGATGAAAGTTGAGCATTATGGTGAATTCCACTCTGGCTTCACTGCACTTCTATGTAAAGTATGTGTACTCTGTATCTTCGTGAACATTAAAATATAAGTCAATGAAATTTATCCTCTTAGATTTTTCGAAAAATTGTTTGGGCTAGAATTTTCTCTCCGGTTTTCAATGCCCATGTGCTAGAAAATTGCCAGTTTGATCCTTTCATTGAGCTAAACGCCGAAAGAAATAACAAATCGGACACAAGTACAAAATTGCCCAAAAAAAAAAAGGCTTAAAAAGGTATATTGGGAGGTAAATATTATAAGAAATATTTAATATTTTCTTCCGGTCTTAATATTTTTATTTATATTTTACAAATCGCATATAGTTGTCTTAACTTACAATAAAAAAAATGTCCTCTTTATTTTTCCTTCAAAACTACAATTCTTCAAATCACACCTGAGCGGAAATTGCATTAATATGATTGAGATTCCTAATTGATAGGTACCATTATACACACACGTCCAAGAGACAGGAGGATTGTCAGCTATGTATGAACACTAATTTCAATAATGTTGCTCAAGCAACAAAAAAGTCCAGCCTAGCCTCCTTTATGCTCATAAGAATGTTCTTCACGAGACAGACTCTATAAAAATTTATGACATGATGTGCCATGCAAAATAGTGTAGTTGGATAACATGCATCTCCCTTCATAGGAGCTCGAAATACGCAGTAAAATTCGAATCATTCAGAAAGATCAAGCAGTATGATTATGAAATTTGTAAAGCAAGACTTCACTGTCATTTTTCCGTTTGCTATAATTAACAATTAACTTTTAAGGATCAACAGAAAATAAAGAGCTGTAGGGCACCAAATATCACGGGCAGAAAAGGAATCTCTCTCACCAAACGCATCACATGGAAAACCTTTTGCAATCTTTGTCTCTTCCTCAAGGTGAAAAACTATGTTTCCTTATCATCATCCAATAAGCTGTACCCACGTGGTACCCCATTTGACCCCACCTAGTGTTAGCGCTTGAAGGGGAGAGAGATATAGGAACCTGCAGAGGTTCAGGGCTAGATGATTTAAAGGCTTGCATCATTAGTTCCACCAAATGCTCTTACATTTTCTTTCCTCTCAGCAAAATCCTTACCCGATTATATCCATTTTCAGGCAGAGTGACTTCAATTTCTTCACTATGAGAATGGCATCATACAATGCTTATTTCATGATCATCATCATGTCTTTCATGCTCTCACCCATGCTTTCATCATATTCACAACCTATTCCCAAAGTTCCCACACTCTCATCTTCACCAGCCACATTAACAGATCCTCCTCCATCTCCACTATCTCCATTCCAAGAATTGTCCCCAGACATTGCTCCACTGTTACCTTCTCCTGGTGGTGTGTTGCCAACTCCTGCTGGCTCTGACATTCCCCTCATTCCTTCCAATCCAAGCCCTCCAAACCCAGATGACATAATTGCTCCTGGACCTCTTTCACCCTTTGGATCAATACAAGCTACCTCCAATGCCCCTGCAAGTCTAGTTTGTAGCATAGCCACTACTGCTATTGCGGGATTAGCAGCATACTGGTCTATATATGCAGCAGTATATGAGAGTATGAGTGATTTGGGGTGTGGCAGAATCCAATTATTATAGGCTAGATTCTCTTATGTGAATTTTTCATTCTTACCTTGTAGTATATGATAATATAATGAACCCTTGTTTCTTTCTTTATTGGGTTGAGAATAATTTTTCCAAACAGTATCATTTTTCTTTTTATGATTCTACTGTTGATTTCCCAGTTGTAATTATTGAGGTTAGCCTTTTTTAAGTTTTTCATTATGTTAAATGGTCCTTTATCTTTCCAATCAGAGGCCCATGATTGAACTTTTTAAGAGCCTTTTTGCATTTTCAGCGTCACTTTGTTTATAGCTGGAAACCTCGTTCAGATGGAACTGAAGAGTTGCTTCCAGCTCTGTCTGGTTTGCATGTAATCAATTTAGGTGATGGCACATGGTTTAAGCATGTGTCAATATTTTCCGAGTTGCAACTGGAGCACGTGACAGACACCTAATAATCAGCAATCAGGCGTTTTCTTATTGTTTTTCTTCCAATTATTGATCCCATACTTCCAAATGAAGTGAAAAATTTCAATTAAAATTCTAATAATGTTTAGGTAATCCTATTTTGTTTGGTTTTGCTGTCTTATTCCTTGGATATTATAATAACATATCATATGTTCATGTGCAAAACTTTCCGTGTTCTATTATTCCACACCCGCTTAATTTCTAGTGTACCAATTTTATTTGCACAAATCTTTTACAAACTCTTGTTCTGAAATCCAGCCAAGCACACGAAATTTTATTTTCATATTAAAATAGACTTAATTCTATTTTTAATTTGTAGTTGTGGGTAATTTTATTTTCCTTATTTTTTTGAGCTAGTTATTTTTTTAATTTTAAAATTGTACAATTTTGTTTCTTCCATCCATTTTATTCAACGTAAATTCTCAAATTGTTATTAACTTTTCAAATGTTTGAAGAGTTTATGATAAATTTATCATATAAATATTTTTAAATGATTAATAATAAAATAATTAATGAAATTTTAAAATGTGAGATTAAAATTTGAATAAAAATTTTGAAATTTTTTATATGTTACTGAAATTTGATGTTTAGATTGGTGTACTTTTCAAAAAAGAAGATTTAAAATAATTTAGTTTCACTGAGAATTTGAATATTTAGTAGACTAGAAGTCAATAAAAGAATTAAATTTAAACGATTTTTAAAATATAAAAAAAATAAAAAGACTAAAATTACACGCATAACTAAACTAAAAAACAGGAAAAAGAGGGTAGCTGTTGACATAATTAATTCTACTAAATTTGCTATTATTTTACTTTATTTTAATGTATTTTTAATATTAATTTGCTTGAATTTTATTAAAAATATAATTTAAAAGTTATAAATTAAAATAATTTCTAATTTTAAATTTTAATTATAAATAATTGTTAAATTTAAGTGAAGTTATTAAAATTTAAATTATTTTGTGTTAATTTAAGATAAAATCAGATTGGTGAATGCTTTGAAGAAGTTAATTAGTTACAAAATCTGGATAAAAGGATAAGCATTACAACATTCAAGTTGGGCGTTTCAACGCTCAATTACAGAAGAATTGACTTGCAGCAGAGCATTGATCTTTCCAACACTCGGCATGGACATTTAAACATTCAACTAACTGAGAAGAACCAAAAATTCAAAGACTGTGCATTCAAACGTAGAGTTTGAGCAACTTGGAAAAGTTGCATGTTCTAATGCTCGCCCTCAATTGCATGACTTGATATTTATCTGCAAAATAATTATGAAAGGCTTCACAAGTATTCCGACACCCATTACGATATCTCAACACTCATGATTCTGAAGTCTATGAATAAATGCTATTGGGACATATTATCAATATAGCTCATAATTTTGAGTTTTTCTTTTTAGGAGCTTTTTAGATTTAGATTTTCTATCTTCAGAGGTTTGTAAGACTTTTTTTTGTGTCTTTATAAACTTTTTAAGGGATTATATTCATTCATCCTTGTGCTGTTATATAGTTTGCGAATTTGAGTTTTTAAATTTTGTAGGATTAATTCTTAATTAAACTTTTTGTAATATTTTTGTAGTTGAAGTTGATTTAGATTTTTTAGCAATTTGTAAATAATTACTCCTTTTCTTATTGGATCAATTTAACCCAGGTCACTTGTATGATTGCATCATTAATCACAATAAACATAAAAGTTGCATTGTTGTTGTTAACATTTGTTGTTACAAATATGATGCAGAGACATCGAATTTTTCCAATTAGTAATTAGGGTAGGGGACCCATATATTACCACACTAATTATTTGAATTATACAAATATGACTAGTGACTTGGGGTTAGGTTTGTTGCTATTATTTTGATTTTATATGAGATATTGTATAATTTAATTTTGCACTTAATATTTTTTGTTAGTTGAATTTAAATTGTAATTAACATTAGACACATCAATTTTATACTCAGAATTGGAAAGAATTTTATCGTTGTTCTAGCTACCTAAACATAGATATTTAGATTTTAATGTAATCATTATAATTCAAGGTCATGCAATACTTGTGGGAATTTTGGAATGGACATTTACTTTACATGAAATAAATTCTTGAAGAAATCTTATGCATATTTTGTTGTGATGTGTTGTTATTGTGTTTTGCAATTATTTTGTATATGTTGTAACATATCCATGGTAAATACATGTAAATAAATTTTAGTTTCATGTACAATTTGCTAATGCTTAATCATATATTTAAAGAGATATTATTGACTAATTGACCTAATCTTCACAGGAATGGTAGCTTTTTTATGTTTATTAAAACAATTTGTGCACTTGTCAATTAAGCTGTTTCATTTGTCTTATAGGTGTTTCATTGCTAAACACAACACCAGTTTTATCAAAATCATAAGCTAACAATATCTTCTCTAGAAAATTTCATTATAGTTTGTCATAAGCTTGCTCATATCCAGTTTTAAAGTTATTCCTTTCCCTGCAGCTGTATTACTTTTTCTTCAAGCATGAAAAGCCTTGTGGATAATAACAATGTTATCTTGACTAAAACAAGTTGTTATAAAGATACTTTGAAAAGGGCGAAAAGGTTTAGCACAGTGCTTGTAAGTTGAAGGACAAAAATTTTTAAGATGACTTTTGATATAAAATTACAATAATTAATAATCTTAAAGTGATTGATTGATTTTGGATGAGGGATTTTAGTGACTAGTGCAATGTGAGCTTCATTAATATTATCACCACCATGAAAGAAATTTTGCATTGCTGTTCAAACATCACCTTTAATTATTTTCTACTTGTTTTGAAAAAAAAATAGTCCATTAAACCCATATATGACTTTCATTCATGAGTTTGGCCTGCCCTTCCTGCCATTCACATGCATAATTTTTTAATATGGAAGAAATTAGTATCATCATCCTCAATTTCAACCATTTTAACCTTAAACGCATGCCCTAATACATATCTTGTTTCTAAAGTTGTGAAATTCTCGTGCGAATAACGTGAATCTAGTCTCACTTACTATCCCCACTAGTGCTGTTTTGGAGTACTAACAACATTTGGTGCAGATCGTACATTTCCTTTTTAGCATTTGAGAAAGTGTCTTTATCATGATAGTCAAAATCATGATTTAGCACATAAGATCGTATGATTTTTCACTTAACCGTTGGTGAAGCTATCCTAGGTGTGACTCATTCTGGTAGGATTATTGGGATTGCATGATCTTTCTTGTAAAATTGTGCGATCCTGAACAAGTTATAAAATATATAACGTGAATGCTTAGATTTTATTACGACATTTCTCTTCAATCTTACCTCTTTACAATCTGCGACAAGGTTTTTCTTTATTGTCAGCACTGTGTGAGTCTATTCTCTTTGTTCTTTAGCTTTTTCTACTTCAAATTTTCTCTTTCTCAATCATTTTTGGATGCAACCACGACTTGAGATTATTGAATAGTGGGTTGGTTTAGTGTCTTACTTCCACTACCTCTGTTTCAAGATGTCTACAACTGGGAAATGTGTACCTACAAGTAGGAGAGGACAACAAAAAAATAAGAAAGTTGTTCCAAGTTTGAACATTGGTAATGTTTCTATTGGCTTATTGAGCACTCTGTTGGTGCTTTTGTGGTTGGTTCTATGCGGAAAAATGCTCTTGGAAACATTAGTTGTAATTCCTTTATTTTTTATTATTGTATTTTATTACATTATTTTTGTTTTAAATAGAAAAATTTAAAATTTTTAAAAACTGTAGGAGATCTTGCTCAAATGAGATTAAATTTTTTAGACCAAATGTTTAGGATATTCTCGCTCAAGACAGACAAGTCTTGTTCAAGCAAAAATGGATAATATCAATACATCTATCCTCTCATCCAAGCGATAAGGCACATGAAAAGGTGAGAGCTCTCTGGACCAATTCTCGCTCATGCAAGAAGAGATATTTCTTAGGCTAGATTATTAGAAAATTAGGTAATCTTTTTGTTTGGTCTTCTTGCCCAAGCGAAAAAGATCTTGCTTAAGCGAGAATGCATCTCACTGAAGCAAAAACCTACTCACTCAAGCAAGAATTCATATACCAAAAATGGTATTTAAGAAAATATCTATTCTAAAATTTGTATTACAATCTAAACAAACACTTCTCACTTTTCTCTTTGAACTCTCTCTTCCTTTTCTCAGATAAACTTTCTTTAAACTTCAAACTATATTTAAATTTATACTCAAACATCTTTCCTTTTTGATTCCAAGTAAGTTCTTTGGAGGTCAATCTTCTCGACTCACTTTTATTTCTACATTTTCTCTTGTTGGAAATGGTTAATCAATATCCATTAAGCTTTATTTAAAAGTTTGGAGGTAGAGAGAAAGAAAGATTTTGAAGGGTAAAGAAGGAGAAGAAGGACTAGACACTTATCTTGTTTGGATGTTAAAATTTATAAAAAACTTTCCAGTTCGGAAGAACTCTACAAGTTGAATTAATTAGGACTTTGGAGAGTTTAAAAAATCCTCTAACCCTTCACTTCATTTATTTGAATTCTTAAACATTAGTTAATTATAAATAAATCTTCTTTTTTTCTTCTCTCCCCTCCTTAAAAGTACATCCAAATAAATCCTAAGATTTTAACCCTTATAATTTTTTTTTTTGTAACTAACAATCAAGTAAATAATTTTTAACTTGTAAAACTTGTCTAACTCTACTAGCTAGTGTAACAGAGTTATTTATGTTGAGTGAAGTGGCAAACAATATATCTGTAACTAGAAAGCTACTAAACTAAATATGATTTTAGAAGAGGATAATTGTGGAGGCCATGGTTGTAAGCTTAACATATGGCTCATTACATTCCAAAAGCCATTTTCTAAAACTTTCAATGCCTTAACATATATCTATTGAAAAGGGAAGTATTCATCCCCACCCTCTAAGATGTTGAACCCCTTTTTATTGCCTTAGCCTATAAACAATATGCTCTTAACAATATTTTTATTCAATGTCTTGTAATAACGTTGTCCATTAGTGTTCTTTCTACCAAATCTATTACTTGTTCTTTTCATGCTCCAATAAAACTTCTTCGTCTATCTGACTTCCTTGTATTATTTTTTGCAAGTTTATTTTGGGCTTTAGGCCATAAAATTAGTTACAGGTTATAGACTTAAGATGTAAATTGCACTCTATAGAGTAGAAGAATTTGTTACTAGAGAGAAAGCCTTTTTAAAAAGAGAGAAAAAAATTAAATATTTATGTCTTTGATTAACAAAGAATAGCTAGAAATAATTTGAATTGAAGTATACTCCTCTTGTTTAATTAAATTTTATAATTCATCATCCAAATTATTTCTTTTATTAACATTGAAAAAAGAACATTATAATAATTTGAATTGAAGAGCTAAATACATATGCAAAATCATGTATATTATATTAAAATATATTTATGAGATACAATAAGAATAATTTCAATCTTAATTTCATTTTTTATATTTTAATTATTTATAAAAATCTTTAATTTAGTTCTATTTGACATAATAAAATATTTATTTTTTTATTTCTGAAATTTATTAATATTAAAAGTAATTGTATAGCATATCTTAAATTTTTATTATATAATTTATTTTCATTTAATAACATTTGTACAGTGTATGTGAAAACTCATTAATTATACGGAAATATGATTAATGTCTAAGGACGACCATTCAGAATAAATAATTGATGATAAGCCAATTTAAAGTGTTAGCATTTTGTTTTCTCTTAAAAGTTAAAAATAATAGTTTTTAAAAAATACAATGATTATTCTTGTAAAAAGCCAGTTATTTATTTTCACTAAATCATTTACCATTATAAGTAATATAATGTATTAGATCTAGATTCATGAAATTGAGAAGAAATTGTAAATGATTATAGTTCTTTTGTTGAGTAGTTATTTGTTTTCATTAAGGGGAATCATCGTATGTTTCATATTGAATAATTGACAACAATAAATGATGAAGAAACCTGCTTTCATAAAAGTATTTATGTTCAATAATCTCTAAATAAGTTGTTTAGTTTTTTTATTTAGGATATTTTTTTAAATTTTTTTAAATCTTAAATATTTTAATTATGAATTATTTTAGACCATAAAATCCCATCATCATCTGAAGTTTATTTTGTTAAAGACAACGTATACATAAAAACTTTTTTTTTTTTAGAAATTGAGACAAATTTTGGTTCACACATTCTTGTTCATTATTTATTTATAAATGTTTAATTGTTTTTCTTTTACAAACAATGGAGTTACTCCTGTACTATCTTTCATAAAATAAAAATAAAAAATTCAAGTCTCACGTGTGCAATCATGATAAATGATACAAACTAGAAATATTAACAATAAAAACAGGTACATCAGAATAGATAAAATAAAAATGTGCATTACTTTTTTAAGAACTATTTGAAAAAATAATATAAAAAAATATATTCATATGATTGTTTTGAAAACAAAAAGGGAAACAACCCTTAATCAAATTAAAAAGTGAATGACCTAGACATTTACACTGAAGTAAAAATTTATAAGGAATTTTTTTATTCTTTCATGTAGTTTCTTTTAGAAAGAGTAGTCAGTTATTTTTTTAATTCAATCTCAATTTTAAATTTTTATAAATAATATTTATAAAAATATTTTATTTTATTTAATATAATAAAATATTTATTTTTAATTTATCAACATTAAAAGTAGTTTTATAGTGTATCTTAAATTTTTTGTATAAATTATTTTCATTTAATAATATTTGTATAGTGAATGTGAAAATAATTATACATAAATACTAGTTATACTAGTTTATTTTTTAATTTAAACTAAATTTATAAGAATTCTTAACAGATTGAAAAAAAAAAGAGATTTTATGTCGTGTATTGTCCTTAGATCATTTGCTAATAATAAAAATATGTAATTGGTTTTTTCATTAAGAAAATCGTTTACGAAAAATTAATATCTAAGAAAGGGGACAGTCTGAATAAATAATTGAATCTAAGTAAGTTTAAAAAGTGTTAGGTCAGTTGTATGATTTAAAAAAAAAATGTTTGAATTTAAAATATATTTTTAAAATTTTAAAAAAATTAGTATTTATTTTCTTTTAGAAGTTAAAAATAATAACTTAATAAAAATACAACGATTATACTTATTAAAAGCTAGTTATTATATTGCAAGCATATGAACTTTTATAGCTGGTTCATAAGATTAAAGAACAAACTTGCAATTAAATTTCTGTTAAATAAATTATAGGTATGTGCAGAAACATGAAACTAGAAAGAAACTTGCTTTCATTGTGGGGTTTTTTTTATGATTTAAATTTTTTATATTCTCGAAGATTAAATATTTCTTTTTCGTGAAATTGATTTTACCGTTTTGTTTACTTTAAATTTTAGGATTTTGTTTGTGAATCACTCTATTAGTTAGATAACTTAGCAACTGATATTTAACATTAATTACTGTACAGTTGACTCCAAAAAAAAAAGTTGTTGAATTTGATTATCTATAAGATTACGAAATCTTAACTGAATCATTTTCAGTTTTAAACAAAAGAGAAGAATAAGAATTCGAGTGTAACTGAATTTCCATTCAATCTGTCTATAAATACTACACTCCATTCACTTCGATCACCAAACCTTTTACGTCACATTCACGATGGCTGGTGGAGTCATAGTAACTGGCTCTGCCGGAGGGAAAAATTATCCTGGCGAACTCACGTTCAGGGTCTTCATCACATGCGTGGTTGCTGCATTTGGAGGATTAATTTTTGGTTATGATCTTGGCATATCAGGTAGTGATGTGATGCTCTCACTCATGACAACAACTTCTAATACATCACATTTTTCAATTTTTCTCAGCAATTTTTTTTACTATTAAAGGAAAACATCTTTATTTTCTTCTTTGATAATGGTTTATGAAATAACATAATTGTTAACTGCATGAATATGTATATGTAGGTGGCGTCACATCTATGGATCCCTTTTTGATGAAATTCTTTCCGGAAGTGTATGAAATGGAGGTCAACATGAAGCCCTCTGATAGCCAATACTGCAAATTTGATAGCCAAACCTTAACACTGTTCACTTCTTCTTTGTATTTGGCTGCTCTTGTGGCCTCAGTTGGGGCTTCCACAGTCACTAGAATCTTTGGAAGACGTTTCACTATGATTTCTGGTGGTGTGCTTTTCCTTGCTGGTGCTGCATTGAATGCCTTTGCTCAACATGTTTGGATGCTTATCGTTGGCCGCATGCTACTTGGTTTTGGCATTGGATGTGCAAATCAGGTAATAAACATACACATGCACGTCTGTATTCACGTTTGTTTTAAAGTTTTTAAATCTATATACAAGTGCGAGTTTGAATTCATGCAACATTTTTTCATTTAACTTTCTTTATAATTCAATTAATGTAAAATTTTTTCTTTTTGGGTTTGCAGTCTGTGCCAATATATGTGTCCGAGGTTGCACCCTACAAGTATAGAGGAGCACTTAACATGATGTTCCAATTGGCAATTACTATTGGTATCTTTGTGGCCAATGTCCTAAACTATGTTTTTGCCAAAATGAAAAACGGGGAAGGATGGCGCTATAGCTTGGGTCTTGCTGCAGTTCCTGCAGTAATGATAATCATAGGTGCAATCTTTCTTCCTGATTCCCCAAATTCCTTGATTGAACGTGGTCAAGATGGCAAAGCCAAGGAAGAGTTGATTAAAATTCGAGGAACTACCGACGTTGAAGAGGAGTTTCAGGATCTTGTTGCGGCTAGTGAAGCCTCCAAAGTTGTGAAACACCCCTGGGCCACTTTGTTGAAGAGGGAATATAGGCCTCAACTCACGATGGCCATAGCCATTCCCTTTTTCCAACAACTCACTGGTATGAATGTTATTACTTTTTATGCTCCTGTTTTGTTCAAAACCATTGGTTTTGGTGGCACAGCTTCTCTCATGTCTTCTATGATCACTGGTGCTTGTAATGCATTGGCCACTCTTGTTTCAATTTTCACTGTTGACAAGTTTGGAAGACGTACCCTTTTCTTAGAAGGTGGTGTCCAAATGTTTATATGTCAGGTATATGCTAAAAACCTTTTTTTTTTTTTTAATATTTGAAATGATATCCATCAGTATAAATTTGAATGTTATTTTACTGATGTAACATAAATTTGTTGTTTTGGTGCAGATTGTGATAACTATTGCAATTGCAAGCAAATTTGGAGTTGATGGAAACCCGGGTATATTGCCCAAGTGGTATGCTATTATCGTTGTGGTTGGCATTTGTGTGTACGTGGCAGGATTTGCATGGTCTTGGGGTCCTCTTGGGTGGTTGGTGCCCAGTGAAATTTTCCCCCTTGAAGTACGATCTGCTGCTCAAAGTATTAATGTTTCAGTTAACATGATCTTCACCTTTGCCATTGCTCAAATTTTCACCACAATGCTCTGCCATATGAAGTTTGGACTCTTTATCTTCTTTGCATTTTTTGTTTTGGTGATGACTGCATTCATCCGCAAGTTTCTACCAGAAACTAAAGGGGTTCCAATTGAAGAAATGTCCGTTGTGTGGCAGAAGCACCCTTATTGGAAAAAATTTGTTAAACCTGTTCAAGACTCCGAATGTTAGGCCTCTTAGTTCCTTAGTTTTTGCTACGGTTCCTACTTTTTTACTATTCTTATTTCGTATTTGTTTATGGAGTTTGTTTCTAAGTGGATCCTTTCTAGTTTCCCATTTATGTTTTCTGAATTTTAGTAATACAACTGTCAACATCTTTTTTATCATCTAATTTTTCGAGCTAGTTAAATTTATTTTTAAGTCATTTAATTTAATTTTTTAAAAGAAAAAGAATAATTTTTATTTTATTACTTTAGTTTAAAACTAAAGAGAAAAAAATAAAAGAGGTATTAAAATTATTACTTGTATTTTTATTTTATTTTACTTAAAAGAATGTTGTTAATCCATTTAATTCACTCCAAAATATGTAAACATGACTTTATTTCTTTATTTTATTTATCTTACTCGTTCTTATCAACCAGAAATTCATGTATACTTATTCTTATTTTAATTAATCTATTCTAAGAAAGAAAAAGCACTTGGAGCATTTCTCCTTATCCGTCAATGTCCTCCGGTCCGAGCAACGTTTTTTATTGTTTAAATCAGTTTAGTATAAAAATATATTGTTCAACGTTAATATCTTCTTGTTTTCTTCTAAACCTAAATAAAATGTTAAAAAGTAAATTTATGAATAAAATTTCTAGTTTGCTCGGCAGCATGGAACGTTTCTTCAATCCCTTTTTACATATAAGCCATCTAATAATAACAATAAGAATAAATAATATAAATTATAATAATAAGAGAGGTAAATATATTTAAGAAATTAAAAAGGAATGTCAAACTTGTCTTGTTATTGCTTTTGTTAGTGTAATTATTTTATTTTATTTTTCAAGAAAATGTTATTTCTGCTTTTCTGTTTTATGCGCTGTGACATGGCAGGGATTTTACTTGAAATTTCGTCTTATGTGAATTTCTTATATATATATATATAATTCAAAAATTATGACATAAACACATTTATATAATTAATTAAAATTCACTCATTAATTAAATAAGTTACTTCTGTATGCATCCGCACTTTCCCGAGTGAACAAAGCAAAGAACCAGACTGAGACTGACTTCCATTCCGGGATAAAAAGTGGATTAGCTTTCGTTACCAGAGATGGAAAGCATAGAATCCGAATCTGAGATCTTGAGAGAGCGAATCATAACTATGTAAAGTTGCCTTGGGCTGAGACGTGACCTCTTCTCATTTTCATTGGGTCACTTTGTCTTCGGTCAGATGGAATAGAATTTCTTTCATATAGCAAGCGAGAATTTTTATAATTATAGTATCATAAAGTTTATATATACCTACATTACACTTTATTTATGAATTTATTATAAAATAAAATTTTATCTTAAAATTATTCTCAAATTTTTTTAATAAGTGGTCTTTAAGGATTAGAACTGCGACTTTTATTTCCTAGACTCAAGGATATGTAAGAATAGTAACTAATCCATTGAATTAAAATAAATTTATAAATAATTTTTCCTTTTTTAAGATATTAATTAATATTTTGTGAATAAATTATTTTCAAAAAAACTAAAATAATAAAATTGTCATTTTTGGATTAAATAAATATTTTTAAAATTATAAAACTTATAAAAACGTGCAAAATGCTAATATCTTCTTTCTTTAATAAATTTCGGTATCGTCTACCTATATTGCCACAATTTTCTGATTTTATATTATTTTTAATATTTTGTTCTTAGTTTCCAGCTTAAGATAAAATAAAATAGTATGTTTTAGTGAACGTCTAATTAATTGAGCCAAATATGAAATAATTTCGATACAAAATTGCATGTCTTCATACTTAAATAAAAAATTGGGTTGTTGCTCGATTTGTATTTTAAATTACTTTGATTACTTTAAAAGCATATAAATATTTTTAAAAAAAGATATTTTTTTGTACTAGTACAATGATTTAGTAAAACAATTGAAAGTATAAATCATATTTCATATCAATGTAATATCTGGTACTATGTTGCACAGTTCATAGCACTTTTTGGTTTGTACTGTTATCAGCATTAATCTAAATTTCCTACTTAATGGTAAGTTTAGTATTACAAGAACAAAAACTAAAAACGTATTACAAATACAATAAGGTTTGTGCACCCACTTATTTAATGGGTAATCAGCCATTCGAAGGTCCTTAATTAATGACCTTTCTCGCAAGTCCCGTTTTCTTTTTGCTTTTTTGCCATGCAAGTCTATCATAATTATTTTTCCCAACAAATGAGTGAATGAGGTATCTCAAAACTGCGAACACTCGTTGAGGATTTGTCACTGAACGCGAACAGAAAAACACCAATTATATAACGTTAAAACTAGTATTACAGTAATCCTAGTACAATCCAGAAAAGAACTAGCAGTTACTTGAAGAACAATCAAACTGAAATAGCAAACATAAAATTGAGAACATAAAACCTTCCTTCCATCAAAATAGCAAAAAAAAACTCCAAAAATCAACATGTCCTCTTGGCTTGTTTAAGCCGCCTTGTTTTCAAGAAGCTTATCAATCATATCAGCAGCTTCTTGAACGGTGGTGATGCTCTGGGCACTTTCTTCTTCCACACTAATTCCAAATTCCTCCTCAAGTCCCATCACAATTTCAACCTGCACAAAATGAAAGGCATGTATTAAATAATCAAAACAAAATACCATAAAACATAAACCTCAGACATTGTTTCATGATCTTTCCAACACTAGAATGTTCAGCAATAACTTGCCCTCCCTTTCCTTTCCCGGCAACCAATGAAAAAGAAAACAAATTTGCTTAAAGAACTTCCATGAAGGAGACAAGAATAGTAAAGCAGGAATTGCGGAGAAAGAACAAAATATATATAATTAACATTGAACAAAGTGCTTTATGTATTAGAAGTGATTAAATATGACGTGCTTATTGTTTACAGGCTCTGGATAAATGCACCAAAAAATGTCATGATCAAATATAAAGGCTTGCCACTTTCTCGTTGTAAAGAACTCATAGTTTTCGACTCCATGAGAGAGGGAGAGAATATCAGGAAAAGAACTAACAAGAGAAAATAAAAAATAGTTCTTCCTCAGTTTGGGCATTTCAATCCCAATTGAGCGTATTCAATAAAAGATTTGTTCTTGGTTGGCCTTTTTTCCTTATATTATATCCAGTATCTTACACAATAATTCATAGATAAATAGAAAAATACCGTGTCAAGAGAATCAGCTCCAAGTGCAGCAAATTTAGACTCCCCAGTAACAGGTTTATCGTCTGGCAGTGCCAATTGTTTCTTGACTATGTCACACACCTTCTTCACTGTCTCTGCTTTGGCCTGTGCAAAATAAAATTATATGAGCATAAACGATATTCTACGATAGTTAACAACAAAATAGTCACACAGATAGTTAATACAATATTAAATTTCATTAGCAGAAACTAATGACAAAGTCCAAAACTTTTTCAAGCATTTATAGTTTTTTTAAACTAGATATAAAGATGAGTAAATTAAGCCAAATAATGCCTCACATAGCAGAGCCAAACAACTATAGGAAATGAGAAACATATGGGGTTATGATTGCAAATCATACCGCACATGTGACTTGAAATCGACGTCCTCTGGGCTGCAATGTAATGGATGGGAAATTCCTTCCCTTAATTGAAAGGGAAACTGAACTTGGGCTGGAAATCCTGGTACGAGGTGCCTGTTTTTTGTATCCAACAAGAACTAAATGAGTCAGGGCAACAGAATATCATTAGAAACAACCACGAAATATTACACAAGACTAGTTTAACATTCTCAGCCACAAAGCAAATCATAAAATCATTATGACGTTACCATCTACTACTGAAACTCACAATCAATAAAATAATTCGTTTCTAAGGGCAGATTAAGGGTTGTTTCAGGATAGTTTGACAAGATAATTAGAGAATTGGTCTAAAATTATAATTTCAAAATGAATAAACAAACTAATAAAGATTAAAACTGAAGGAAGCTAGCATAGCATAGCTTCAACATAGACAAGCAAAATCTAGGGCAATTAACTAAAAAATCTTCAGATGAAAAAATTTATAGTAAAAAAACCAAAAGTATTTATTTTTTAGCTGCTAAAAATCTCATATACTTAAATAAAAATGCATAAAAAGTAAGCTCTTCCAAGAAAATTAGAGTCGGGACCTTCAATTCAAAGTTCAATCGACAAGTGAAATCGTTCAGAAATCCTGAAAAGAAAAAATCGAACGCATGCAAATACAATCACATAACACAAAAACCAAGCGCTGCAAACACAAGGGGGCAAATCTATTCCTTGCTTCTTAACCAAATCAACATCACACAACATTAATCAATTGAATAAACAGGTTTCCCTAAAATCCGTATTAAGAAAACAAATAAAAAAAAAAGAAAAAGAGAGAAGCATACACAACGAAGTGGAATGAAAAGCGTATATATACCAGAGCTTGATTGGAAAGAGAGGTGAGGGAAATGAAGGATTGCGTAACGGAAGCCATTGCAGAGAGAGAGAGATCTGAGATCGAAGGACGGAGAGCACGATGTGTTTGTGTAAGCGAGTTTGTGTCCGAAATGATAGAACGAAGGGACAATGTATGCATTTATAGGAAAGCGCAAAGCAGGGTTTTAAGGTTTTGTTTTGTGGTTAGTTTAGCTTCGTTACTTTCGAGGATTGGCACGTGGGAAGTGTTTGTTTCATTTCTCCTATTCACATTCCTATGCTGGGACTTCCTTTTCCTTTGTTTGGTTTACTTCGCATGTGATGAATTAAATGTTGTATTAGTGGATCAATTTTACGTTAAGCCTAAATTAAAAGTACATACGCTAATTGTCAACAAATTAATTTAAATAAATAAAATTAAAAATGTATCAATTTTACTATCATTTTAATTTTTTAAACATGTATCATGAAACATGCGTTAAAAATATATTTTTTATTTTAATTTAATTTATATGAATTTTGACATAACATTTTAGAGAAGTTTCGTTTTAAGATAGTCTAAAATGTTGATGAAAACGCACGTGATGAGGATGATCAAATTAATATTGTGATTTATATTATTTCCATGCCTAAAATCCAGTGAGTCCTGCAGTGCATATTTGCTTTGTGTGATTTTGGTTGGGGAGAGGGGGTTGTCATTTCACTAATATCTTTGCGTTTTTCTATTTAAATTCTTTTGGGGAGAGGCTATCCTACCTTATTACATTTGTTCTTGTAACGATTCAGATTTTTAAATTCTATGTTTCACCTTTTTTCTCACCCTATGACTCATCGATTGTGAAATTTAGGTTTCTTGAATCAAATAATATACATTTAAAGAAATTAAAATTAATTTTTTCATAAAATAAGAAGAAGAAAAGAAAAAAACAATCCTTAGAAGTCTTATTAATAGGTATCCAAGACATCGTTATAATGCAGCTGTGGACGGCGCGACGATTTTGGAGTATAGTTGTGGACTCCACTATCTTTCTGCCCACCAAGTGCTGCTGTCCTTTGTAATCGCTAAATGGTTATTTTCTATGAGGAGATATTTTATTTACTTCTTGCGTGAAATAGTCAGAAGTTAGCGTTCTATCTTTAAAAATATTAAAATAATTACGTTAATTTAAGAAACCATAATAAACATCTATATTCAATTATAATTGATACAATAATAAATAGACATGTGTATATCACTTAATTAGTTCATCAACAGTGTTTTTTTTCTTTTAATTTAAATTTCAAATTGGTATAATTGCGATGTTATTTGTGAAAGCATAAATCACCAAACATTCAGCTAACGTTGGCTCGGCGCATAAATGCAACACTGCCATTAACTACAAGAAAACACCTCATTGCGTACTATTGTTGTCCACCGTTATCAGTTGCGACCCACCAAACCCAAATCTTAGTAGCCGCAGTGTGTCCACCGAAATCTGAATTAATTTATATGAAAAATACCTGCGTTTGAAAAAATAATACATTAATTTAACAGCTTTCAATCTTTAACTAATAATTTATAATTTAAAAATGAATTTTAAGTTTGGATTATTAATTCTTTTATGAAATAAAGTTTATATAAATGCTACAAAAGGTTTTTGATGGAGGCCATAAAAGCTAGGCGTTTGATACATGGCGTCAAAAGCTCTTGGTATAACAAGATGACAACGTTTTTAGAACTACCCACGTCCTTTTTATTGTGACAAACATAACTTTTGATAGATTCCATCAAATGCTCTTGGTGTAACAGTTTGACAACATTTTCAGAATCACCCAACATGATTTTATATTCGAACAGCACCCAAAACCAGCTATTTCAAAGTACTTCGGGTTGGTTTACGAATCTATTTTATTCATATTTTTTATACAATACATATATTTTTAATTATTTAAGAACAAGTACAAATTAACAAATTTTAAATATTTTCACTTGTATTTTTAAACTGATGTTATTAATATACATTTCAATTATTTTATCAATTTTTCATTGCAGCCGTACGATCACTTTCTCGAAGCCTTCAGCAATCACCAGAGTACATTTTGATGCAAGTAGTTGACAGCTTGTCGATGGTAAAAGTTGAAGAACTGAAACTTCTGATCTAAGAATCTCAGCGCCATGGAGAATTCGTGACGTTCTCACCTACATTTATGCGAGGCTTTCTTTGAATGGAATAATTTTTGGGAAAAAAAAAGGTAATTTTATGGGAAAAGAATAACTTTTTTATATCTCAATGCTTTATTTTTCAGTGAATGTAAAATAAAAAGAAGGTGAGGTACATAATTTCCTTTCTCCCTCTCTATTCAGAAATGAATGGTAAAAGGAGGAGATGATTTTTATTTCTTTTTAGTTTATTTATATTTTAAATGTTTTATAAATAATATACATGTTTAAAAGCATTAGGAAAATATACTATTAAAATATTTTAATTTATATTTATATATATATTATAATTTTATCTTTACTTTATTTTTTTGCTTATCTAAATAAGTGAATATATTTTTTTACTTATTTAAAATAACATGACTTTTTATTTTATTTTTCACTGTATATATAAATATTTATGTCACTTCATTGTCCAAACAAAATATAAGTTACTAATTATGAACATTATAATATCAATTAATTATTAAAATCACAGTAACTATTATAATTAGATGGGACTTCCATTCAACAACTTTTTTTCTGATACACTATGAAATTATAATTGATGAAAGTCACAATAAAAATCTAACTAGTTAGTATTTTTAGGATCTAATTAAGGAAAAACAAAACTTATTAACAAATACTTTATAAAAATAAATTAAAATATGATAAATATATTTTTAATAGAAATTTTGATATATTTTTTTTTAAAAAAAGAACTAGTTTTTTTTAAAGGCTCTAGTTAGCATTTTCTTGATATTTAAAGTACTGAATTTTTGTGTATAAGCGTACATGATTATGATACCATGTAAATAAAAAATATTTTACAAATGCATTTTCCAACCTTTGTCCTTTCTCATTTGTCAAAGCTCTTTTGTTAATTCGTACTGTGGTAGTTAAGGGTGTTGATAAATAATTGGTTTAATTCAATGAATTTGATAAATTTAAATCAAATCAATCAAACTAATTTGATTAGTTGGTTCATTTTATTTTAAGTTTGACCTGCAACTAGTTTAATTTCTTATTTTTATCATTTTAAAACTTGAACTAAATTGATAATCTCTTATTTTTTATTTCCTTGAATCTTAACTTTTTATATATTTTAGATTTCAATATCTAAACATTCCCTCTATTTTTTATTTTTTATTTAAGTTGAAGTTGTTACACGATAAAAATGGAATTGCAGCATTGATTTGAAAGTGTACTAGAAAGGAAGAAGATCTAAATGAAAATATGAGATCCTGCTTTAGATTCTCTCTTAATTTACTATTCTTTGTTTTCCTTCCTATTATGGACATGTAATCTACTATTGATAAGCATATACAAGAACATTAACATCGTTACATCATTACTTAGCACGCATCATCATAAGTCTTGTAAAAAGAATTGTTTTTAAAAATGACACATTATTTATAACTGTTCATAAAGAGTAGCTTTAATTTAAAATAGCAATTAATTTTCTATAAAGAAAAGTCACTTAAGTTGTTTCTAAAGTAAGTCAAGTTAGTTTTAAATTAAGTAAATTTGTATTATAAATCTTAAAATATTTAGTCATTCATCATTTTAATTTCAATCATTGCCAAAGATTAATTGCTATACTGAATATGTTGATTTAAAATGCTAAATATCGTTTCCACCGAAATAATATCAATAATATGCTAAATATCATATAATAACATGCATCACAATTAATCATAACAGTAACAACTAACTTGATTAAAAACTGATAACTTTTCTCAAAATTGGTATTTGCATCTAAAACAACTTCAACCAATCAAATTGGTTGTTGCAACTCTAAATAAATAAGCCCAATTTCTCCTTCTCCTGGATATTAAAAAAAAAGGGTTATTTTTCTTTCTTCTTCATTGTGTGCTTGTGAAAAATGATGAACTGCCTTGAAATGTTGGAGAAGGAGAAGAAATTGGAATTCTTTATATTTGAGATTGCAGGACCAACTCTACTGATGGAAGAATTTTTATAAACCAAATTGAATAATTATTGAAGAATTTTTTTCCAAATTTTTATATATAATAAATTCTAATAATTTTTTATTAAATATTATTCTTAACAAATTTGTTATTATATTTTTTAACATCGTACATATAAAATTAATTCTAATAAAAATTTTCTAAATACAATTTAAAAGTAATAATTATTAGTCAATGATAGTTTTAATTCTTAAGTGATGTAAAATACTATAATTAATTTTGATAAATTTTTATTAAATAAAATTCATAATTAATTTATTATTTTTCATTTTTAACATGTATCAACATATTTTCTAACTATTCATGTCACCAATGTGGTATGTAATAACTTTTTCTAATAATGTAACATTTATTTTATCAATTATATAAGTGACTAATTATTTTAAATCTTAATAATAATAAATTTTGTTTTAAATATATTGAGAAATAAGTAAGGGTAGAATGCAATATAAGAGTTGACACATGCGGCATGGTTTGATGGTTTACCACCAGACTCAATTTATTCGGATTCAAAACAATTACGTATAATTGTATACGGAGGAGCTTAAACCTTTTCCCCACAGCATATCTAATAGCGAAACCAGCTAAGAAAGGTCCACATTTACCCCAAACAGATGCCACACCTGTAATCTCATCAAAATCATGTGATGTGCGAAGAAACCTTACTTATGTGTGTCACTCCAACCAAAACTGACAATGTTAACGCGACAAACATAAACCAAAAATGGAAAATTACATTCATAAAATTCTTCCAGGAACACCACACCTAATACCAACCACAAATAAACCGGCATTATATTTTGATATTGAAATAATCCGGGTCAAAGTGGTGCAACCGTACATAACCATCTTCACCTCCACTTGAAAAACTACAAATAAATAAATAAATATGAAAGGGCCGTAAACAAACAAGAGAAACCCCGAGATGGTTAATCAGCACTCTATCAATAAAGTGCACGAGGAAACTACTAGAAATTTCGAGAGATATAATTATAATTGAAAAATATATACCAAACAATGGATAAAATGTCACACAAATCAAATGAAGAGCTACAATCACAACACATGATTGAAATCACAACATAGTAATCATAAATTTGTCGATTTACTACATAGATTGTCCTATGCAAATAGGTTGTCTCTTTAAAGTCATTCCATAATAATTTTAATTATATAATACAGAGAACAAGTACAATATTTAGCATAAATTAAAAGTTCTTTCTAATTTGAAGGGAAAATGATATTATTTGGCAACAGACAAGTGAATGTTGATAATTTCGTCAGTTTGTGATCAATGACGAGATCAACACTAGTTTATATCATATTATGCATTCTTCCTATATCCAAATGCCATCACAGTAACTACTATACATAACAACTACAGGGTCCTTCATTCGTGTAAATGGTCATCTCCATAACCAAATGGTGAAATGTATACATATATTTATAATTATACAAAATTTGTTTTGATTGATTAATTTATCTGACCCCAGACAAGGCAAGATATTAACATTTTAAAGAGTTGTGTGAAAGAAATGGCTCATTTTCACTATACACAGTAAAAGGTTTAACATAATCATGGGTGTCAGCTTCTCCAACGAATGGTAGGCTTCAATGATTAAAAGTACGTATGATGCCACACAAAAGGGAGGCGAAGAACACAGAATATTCCATCAGGGTTAAAGGCCAATGCATTAATTGGTCCAGAATGCCCTTTTACACCTCCAATTTCTTCTTGAAAAATCTAAACAAATGAAAATACCAAATAAACTGACATTCAATATTGATAGAGAACACAAAATAGTATAGGAAGAAAAAATTTACCTTATCAAAAAATTTCGCTTCAAACTTGCCAGCGCGATGATCAGTAGTTGTAACAGCTGATGCATCCTGACCACCTACAATTACCACCTACACACAGAGCATGGAATTCAGAAAATCATACAACAACAATATGACCCAAATAAAATGGAGGAAGGAAACTAAAGCAGATAGAATACCATCATAAGTGCTATCAATGACAAAAGGTTTGGAAGTGCATTTATTAAGTGAATTAGTGAGCAATTGGGATGTGCAACAATTGTGAAAGTGGTTTAAGGGGAATAAAGCTGTACCAAGAAAGAAAGGGGCTAGGAATGTTTTTAAGGGGCTTCCTAAAACCATTCCTAGCCCCTTAAAAACATTCCTAGCCAGTGATGTTAGAGTCTTTTCATGGCCAGATTCCTTGTCTGACTCTTTAAGTAGTTTTCCAGTCTGCAAACAAGCGAATGAGAATGGATTAATAGTGTAGGTAAATTGGAAAGGAAGGAAAGAAGAGGAGTGCTGTGTGATGGAAGTGAAGTCACCTCAGAATCCCAAATCCGAATGACAGCATCTTCACCGGCACTAATAATGGTATTGTTGAGGGGTCCCCAAATGGCTCTATTTATTCTTCCCTGAGGGCCCTTAATGGCAATAAGAGATTCCCCAGTCTCATAAAGCTAGAGGTTGTGAGTGAGGAAACAAAATGAGCAATGAGAAGGAGCATACGATCTGTGGAATCTTTGGCAATGCGTTTGAAGTGGATTGCAGAAGGCAATTACATAAAGGGGTCAGTAGTGATAACTACAAGCTTATCACCGACGGCGAAATCAACAGACCTAGCCGGGGAATCAAAATTGAAAGCGCAGGAGAATAGGAGATCGCCGTCCCTGTTGTATTTGAGGAATGTTAATGGCCGCTCATGGCCTTCCATAAAAAACGGCCTCATCTTCCTCCTTCTCTCTACTCTCCACTTCCAACTTACAAATTAGGGTTCATTCTCATGGCTTCTTGTACGACGACCACCATCCTATATCACACGGCATGATCAAACGGTTCCATTGCCTGTAATTTATACACTGATCAAATTTCAAGTAATTACTAGTAAACATACTCGCCGGTGCACATGCAATTGCTTAGTGAATCAAACGGTTCCATTGCCTACAGTTTAATTTTTTTTATTAAATTGTTTTGTTTAAAAATAATTTTAAATATTATATTTAAAATATTAAATATTTTATATTATAAAAAATTGTGAATTATAATATATGTTTTTATCGTTTTAAAACTAAATTAATTTAATTAAATACTGTATACTTTATTAGTTTTTTTAAAAATATATATTTAATATTATTGAATGGATAATAAAATTATTAATCATTATAAAATTTAAAGAAATTAATATATTAAGTAATTTATTAAATACGTATATACAATTGCACGAGTTTATTTATATCTTTTATTGAATTATTTTTATAAAATAGTTAAAAAATAATATTTAAATATAAAAAATAATGTACTTTATATTATTATTAGTTTAAAAATAAAGTAGCTTACAAAACTATGCATATAAATACAATGTATATATAATATTTTTATTTTTATTTTTATGATTACATGACCATTAAATAGTTTTAAAAAAATTAAATCTAATTAAATTTCAGTTATTTTTTATGAATTTTAATAAATATGTATTAATTATAATTTAAATAATATATATAATATTTAATATAAATATAAATATGTAAAATATTAAATAATAATTTTTAGTGAATTATACGTAAATATATAGATTAAAAATAAATTAAATATATTAAATAATTTGTTCAAGATCCACGTGTATTATATTGTTTTAAATTTGTATTGAATTAGTTTGTTAATAAAATTAAAAATTGTATTTTAAATATAAAAAAAATATATTTTTTAGTGAATTATAGATTGATAAATAGAAATAGATAGATAAAATGATATAAAGTATATCGTTAAATAATTTTTATATATAATTATATTTTTGTCTTTATACTTTAATATAATAATTTTGGTCAATTTAATTTAATGACTTACAGTAAATTTTTTAATTGTTTAATTCTTAAGATTTTTATTCTAAAATTTTGTTTAATAATTAATAAAAATATAAAATAAAATGCATAAAATATAATAAAAATTTTAATTTTAGTGTAAATAAATTAATTTAAACATTTAAAAATTATAAATATTAAAAATAAATAATTAAAATTAAAAAAACTAAAATTACTTTCATATTAAATTAGAAGAACGATTAAGCCTAACTTTTAATACTTACCAAAATGATGTTCACCAGTAGCTTTGCATAATAAAAAAATATATTGTCATTTAAAATTGTTTATTTCTACTCCACTTAATTTATTTTTATGTAAAATACTTTTTTACTTATTAATTAAATTGATAAATTTATTTAAATTTTAAATGATAAATCTTCGTAAATTTTCAAATGTGAATTAAATATTAGTGTAATTTTTGGTAAAAAAAAGTTAAAAGAGATAAAAAAAAATGGTAAAGGATGACAATGAAAATTTGAAAATAAGTTTAATAGTTTTTTTTAATATCTAATAAATATATTTATAGATTTGTTTTTTATAAGTTTTAACATAAATTAAAAATATGTGTATAAAAATAAATAAAAATGTGTAAAAAAATTATATAAATTAAATAAAAACACATTAATAATATAATATTATATACATGAACGTTGAATAATTTAAATAAATAAATAAATAAAAGAATGAATGGGAGAAATTTGGCGCGGAGACAGGACAGGGAAAGGGGGAGTGTGTGTTACAGACAACAAGCGGTGGGTGAGTGTCAGTCTCCACACGTAACCGACGCAACCAACACCTTCTCTCTCTATTTCTATTGCTTTCTTCTTAGTTCTTAGTTCTTACCCACACACACACAAACACATGCGTTGTTATTGTTAACATGGCTACGGAGCTTCTCCAAATTCAACCCTCTCAACTCACTTTTGTCTGTAAGTATTCTATTTTCATCCTCCATTCATTTCCACTTCTCACTCTCTCTCCCCTTAATTTCCAGTTGAATTGAAGAAACAGAGTTCATGCTTACTTCATCTCGCAAACAACACTCCTCACCATGTTGCCTTTAAGGTTAAAACGACGTCGCCCAAGAGATACTGCGTCACGCCAACCATCGGCATCATCAACCCACACGCAACATCTCATTTCACTGGTAATTATTACTCTTTATATGAATAATCGCCTATTACTCTTATTATCTCGGTTAATATATGCTCTGTAGTTACTATGCAAGCTCAACGCACAACACCACCTCACCTGCTCTGTAAAGACAAATTCCTCATTCAAAGCACCGTTGTCCCCTTTGGAACAACCCAAGACCAAATCTCTTCTCACCTGGTCAGTGGCACTCAACTTACGCTTATGTTCTTTTTGTCTCACACATCTTATGATGTCGTGTCCTTAAGTTAAATAATTCGAAAATCTTTCACTTTCGCAGTTCCTCAAAGATAGTGGCAAGCGCGTTGAGGAGAAGAAACTAAGGGTCGTCCTCATAACCCCACCCTCTTCCCCTGTAAATGCAGAACTCGAGCATCAAAACCTCCCTCCCCCTCTTTCAGTGAGTCTCTAATTGCCAGTTACATGTGTGACACTGAGAATCAGAAGCATTTCAATACAATTCAACATGCTAGAAACTATGCCTTTGGTGCAATACTATAGGCGTTGTTAGGATCGTTCTCTAATCAGAATTGGAGCACCTCCATAATTTGACTATATAGTAAGGTTGACATTTAAGGTCGGCCCATTTTATCAATGTGAAACTCCAATTCTGATTGGAGAACGATATTTATGGCACTGCATTTTAATTTTTTTTCCCCCTTTTCTAATGTGCTACGAGGATATACAATAAAAATCTATATACAACAGGATTTTATTAAAAATTACATAATTTAATGCATTAAAAATGTGGATTGTCTCATTAGTTACATGTTAGAAAAGGCTTTGATTGAAATATGACTTACTCTCTCACGTTGTTTTGTCCTTTTTAGCTGGTTTTTGAGGGAAAAAGTCCGGAAACAGCTCAGGATATGGAGGAGGAAACTGTTTCAAAGAGTGTTGAGAAGGTGGGTGGCATGAAGCAGGCAAATGATGCTGCCAAGTTGACTTTTACTGAGGGTTCCGAGGAATTGAAATTGAGGCTGAATGTAATGGATTCAAAGCTAAGCGAGGTCCCTGCTTCTTAACTTTGATTAACAGTTATCTCATTGTAACTTTGATATCAAGTTTCATATTCTATCTGTTGGTTGGTTGTACTTTCATATGACTGTGATACTCTCAAGTTTTGCGGCCGGTGCCCAAATATTTGAACTTGAATTATACTTTGAACTGCGAGGGGAATTGATGGAGAAATTGAATTGAAGAAAATTATGTTTAACCTGTCTAGTGTCTACTATAAATAACTTAGGATTTTGCTTTATTTAGAAGAAACAAGGCTGGCGTAAGACTTTTTTTTAGTTCACAGTGAACCAAAAAGGGAAGTTGATGCCAACTCAAACACCTCCATTATCATTGAAATTATTTTTTTTTATCACTTCCGTGTATTTATGACTGCCTACTGCCCAATGCATAAGGTTGTAAAATACTTATGCAATATCATTTTGCTTTACAAAGATGTTATCTCAGCATAGGGTTCAATTCCTTAAATTAGTAATCAGTTCCTTGGATTGCTTGCAATTTGACCTTTTTAATATTTTTCAACTCAAAGATGGAAGCAACCAACAATTAGTTATCATTTTTGCAGGCTGAAAGAACCATCATCAATCTGAATGAAGAGAAGCGCAGGAACACCCAAGAAAAAAATTTGCTCAAGCAAGAGTTGGTAGGTACTTTTATTTTATTGATGCATCCGTCAATTTAAAATCTAAAATCTTCATGAATTCCATTTTTCATGTTCAGTAGCCCCTTTTCATGTTGAATTGGAACAATTGAGGCAGTACAGATCAACATAATAAAAAAGTAGGGAATAAAATGCCAATAGAAATGTAGATTTTTTTCATTCATCTCACACCGTTCTACTTGCCTGTTTAAAGTAAGATCTAAACATAAAAGGTGAGTGGCTTTTGTTTTAGCATCAATACTATATGAATAATCTCCAGATGCGATAACTTCTAAAACTTTTATGAATAATCTCCAGAACTCTTTCCAACATAATTTCTTGCTTGCAACTGCAATAGAACTAAATGTATGGCGATTAACTTGGTAGGGACTAATAACTACTATATGTTTTTCATATAAGCAAATCATCAGTCACTTTCAATGAACAATAAATTTGCATTTCCCTGTCTTGTTAAACAATTTAATTGTGGAATATTCATATTCAAATATTGTTATATAGTGGATATTACTGTGATGTGAAGGCGCAAACCAGAAGTAGAGGTTTCTGTGGAATGCTTCATCTCTTTGTTGCATGAAACCTTAACTTCGTTTTAAAGTTTTGTCAATTTTTAGTTACTGAATGACCACTTTCAATATTTGACAGCCGTTTCTGAATTTTCTTTATTAGGAGATGCTGAAGAGGACAGTCAATATGAAAAGAGCTCAAGGGGGCTTTCCGTTACTGTTTGTTTGTGTGGTTGCGCTTTTCAGTGTGGCACTCGGATATTATATTCACCCATAAGGGGGAAATATGTATAATATCAGACATTCTAAAATCATGGAGTTCTTAATGATTCGATAGAGGGCAACTCGTGAATTGTGATGGTAACACTCAAGAAATGTCAATATGTGATACGTGTGATATGATATAGAAACCTTTCTGAAATGCATGTAAAGTGAACTACATCTCTAGAGAAGCATCATATCCGGCCATCTGATAATTGACTTCACATAATTGACCAGAATCATAAATTTGTATTGAAGCACTTTTTTTTTTACTAAAACTTTGAAAAAAATTTATATAAATCTTTGAAAATAGAAAATAATGTGACAGTTTTTCTAAAAATAAATAGCCCTTTAATTTTTCAACCTTTTTTAGTCTTTTTTCCTTCTTCAAATTTTAAACAAAACAAGTCGTATATAATGTGCCGACGCAATGTGAGGGTTTCGGCCCAAACGTGGCCTGGGTCATAAACGGGAACGAGCCATGTACAATGAGTATAAAAGCTTACAAAATGTAAATGGACTATCCATGCATCAAAGTTGCTCCTTAAATTATTTATATATTAACAAGTGTAAATTTTTTTATAATGTTATTTTATAATAAATTATCATGATGAATTATTAACTTTTGTAATAATTATTTTAAGTTATAATATAATAAAGTTTAATTAGTTGACTGTATACAAATTTTACATTAATAATAATTGATGGTTATATATTAGAATTAAACTCAATTATAAATTATAAATATTAATTAGTTTAGTTATTAATATAAGTATTATTTTGATTCTTAAAATTACAAAACAACAATTATTTTAATATTTGATATCAAGTCATGGTTATTTATTTTTAAAATTTAAAAAAGAGGATTAAAATGTATAATTTAATTGAAATAATTGATAATGAAAAACAATTTACATTTTTATTTAATTATGCATTACTACATTAACAAATTTTAATAATTTTTATAAAAATTAATTTAAAAATTATATTTATCATATATTGTAAGTAATTGAAAAAACAATAATTGTATGTAAAAAATTAAGCTCTAAAATTTTCTAATGATTTCATAAATTAAAATGATACTATCTTTGTTCTTATTTATTTCTTACTATTATTTTATTAACATCATTTTATCTAAAAAAACATTTATACTATTTAAGTAATTTAAAAGAAAAAATATACTAATATAAATAAATTAAATAATTAATTTTGATAAAATTATTAAATTTTATCTATTTGTATAATGGTAATTTTTAGTCAGGTAAATAAGAATGGGTAGTATTTGATAATTTGAAGAAATAAATTGACGATGACTCGCTGATAATTTTTAATTAGTAGGGTGGTGTAAATGGAGGGAAGGCATGGCATGCGCAAATGAGATTAAGACTAGTAATAAAAAAAGCAAGTGATGGTACAGTATGGTGCAGAGCGCGTTGGACAAGCAAAAACGCTTGTAATGCATACGCACCACTGAAACTCGCTTCTTCAAAGCTCTTCCTATTTTTGGCCTCTCCCTCTTCTCCCCGGAAAGGAGAGGAGAGGAGAGAAAAGTATATACATATATCAGATTCCACCAATATTACCCTAAACTTCATTCAAATATTCAATTCCTCTTATCTGTCTTCTAGGGTTTCTCTTCCGCCATTGCCGCCCTCACCTCTAGCTCCATCGCACTCTTCTCTACAGGCATTGCTCCCACATCATCTAATTTCACTCCGATTCCCTTATTCCTTCTCTCTTTTTTAAGGTTCTTTTCGCTCTCTCGCCGAATCCGTTGTTTCTCACTTCGAGGTAAGGCTATTCTCTGTTTACGATCTTTTCCGATTTGTTTCGCGAATGCTTGTTTGCTGTGTGCCCTGGCTTCCTTCATCGTTGTCTCTCGCGTTTCGTATTTATCATTCGTTTTGTATCGCTCGCGATTCGTTTGCTCTGTCGTATTAATTTCGTGTGTTGCTTCTAGAATTGACAATTCTACGTTCGTCGTTGTTGAAGGTTTATTGTTTTTGCTTCTCAATGGTATGTTCCCCGGGAAGTGGGAGAATGGAGGTCATGGCAAGACATCTGGCTGCTGGGAGTTATTCTCAGAGCATGGCAGGTAGACGGAGACCCTAGCTCTTAGGTTTTCTTAGTCATGGTTATTACGTTTGTGGTTTGCCTGACATTGTTTGATGGATTTATGTATTTATATATGTTTCACGGAACTTAATACTGAGTACTGTCCCTGTTGAATTTATGGATTTTATTTTATTTTTTCTATTTCTGATTAACATCTTTTGTCCTTGCATGGCATTGGAAGATGACTTTGCCCGTCAGAAGTCAGCTGCTGAGTATATTTGTAGAGAACTACGTGAGGCAGATGAAGCAAATTTGCTTCATGAAGAAGGTTGTCTTAATCTCTCTTTTTTTTGGTTGAATCAACATTTTTTAATTTAATGTGTGGATAGTCCCAATTATATGTTATTTATTTAAATTTATAATTTATTTAGTTCAATATGATTTAGTTTTCACTTAAAGGTGATGACTGTCACATGCTGACAAATGGATTGGGGGGGGGGGTGCTTCGTCAATGTGGAACTGCCTATTATGGTTGTACTTGTATCTTTAGTTTTCATGATATTGCTCTTCAGCTTTAGCTTTCTAATTTCTATTATTGAGTTTGCTTGATTTCATGAGCATAACTCTTAATTTGCTTTCCTTTTCCAGTCTTATTTTATTTTCTGCATACTATCTTCATTGTTTAAAATGTTGCTTAATATTTTTCATATCACAGATATGCATGTCTATGGTGAGAGGCCCATGGCTGATTCCTTGCAGCTGGTAAGGTTTGCCTCTTGTTTCTATTTTTTCTTTTGTGCTAGTGGACTAGTATTCTTGTTCTTCTTCCCAAGTGTGTTGCTTAAACCTTTCGTGAGGTTTCCTTATTGGTATTGGGGTTACATGAATTCAGTGGATCCATGATCCATCACAATGTTACTGGGTATAATGGGATAATAGTTATAGCCTGTCATTGCTTCCTTATGTTTAGTATACCTTAATTATGGAAACAGTAGTTATTGATACATCTATACTGAATAATTTTTGCTTTCTTACTGAAGTATTCATCAGAAGGGTGCAGTAGCTCATCAGACATAGTTTGGACTGGAGACATTTTCTGCTTTTAAAATAAACTTTGTAAATATTGGAGTTGATTAAGATATTATAAATATCTTCATCTGCAGGCTTTAGCTGGTTGCGAAATATAATCTAAATCAATTCATTTAACTAATTATTTGGTATCCTTTGTGAGGTATGCTGCAATGTTTGCAAGAAACCAATCAAGGACAGCCAATTTGCTGCTCATGCAGGTCTGGTGGCCTCTTTTCTATTTATTTTAAAACTTTAGATCCTTATATAATATCTTGAGGCTTGCCAACCAGTTACACATGGCTTTGTGTGCTCATAAAATTTATCTGTTAGTTTCCAAATATTCATTTACACATTGACCTTTATATATTGCTGGATTGCTACCACTTTCTCTTTTTGGTCCTCTTTTGTTTCAAAAAAGATACTTATATTCAATCCTCCTCGTTTTTTCCTCCCGTCCCCCCTTCCATTTTGCCAGAACTTTGTAGGTCATTAAAGCTCACAGAACAAACTACATTGGAGCTTGATGGCAGTACAGGGAATCGAAAACCTCCTAGGAAAGAAAAGAAAAAGTTATCAAATTCTTGTGCGAGTATCCTTACATTTAGAATTAATTAGTCACTTGCAAATTCTGTTTGGATCTATGTTCATACCGTCAGATTTTTTCTTACCTAGTATAATTAAGTATTTAGTACTTTAATCTTGTTCTCATTATTTTTTGAAGATACTTCACAATAATCACTTTTTGAAATTTGTAATTTGGATTTCTTGAATGTGATTTTCTCTTTAAATGGGAGTCCATTAGTTTTTCTAAATACATTCTAATGATAGGTTGTTGTAACATTACTTTTTGTGCCTCATAACCCCTCATAGACCAAGCTACTGCAGCTGGGGAGCGGAGAAGGTCTGAGTCTACGGATAATATTGACACTGCTGTGTCACAGTCCCACTTGAACTGTCAAATCAGAGTGACTCCCTTTTCCAATGAGGTAAAAGGTAAAAGCCCAAACATTTGTGAGTTCCCTTTTTCTAATTTATTGAAATTCTCACTCAGAAGTTGATGCTTGGCTTTCTTATACACATCTTTTAACCAAGATTGCTACTTGTATTAAGTTTTGCTAAGGTTAAATTAATTTGTCAATTATTTGTTGGGCAAATAAAAGCATCTAGGTGTTAGTCTGATTTTTAAGCTAATTGATGCCATTTTGGTCACTTGTGTTAGCTTTCACTTTGACCCTCCCCAGCAACCCAATAACATAGTTGCGCCCTTGCATAAATTTTTGGAACTAAAAATTAGACTTATATTATATGTGTGCATGCAGAAAACAATATTATACCTACGTATTTCTTGGTAAATTTTCTTTGCTTTCAGATTTAACTATAAACCTCTGGTAATATTGGTCACAAAGATTTTTTTTTTTGACAAATATTTAAGTTGATAGTTTAGACAATTAATTTTGTAAGTCAGGACAGATTTAATCCCTTCTTATCTTTTTTTTTTCTTGTAGGGTTGAATGTATATCTCAAATTTGTTATCTTAGAGTAGAATTTTACTTTCTAGATATGAATGTCTGTTATGCCATACCCTTGATGTGCTAATCATTTTGAATTTTTTTTTCATTTTTGTTCCAATTTCCTTAGGACACTCAACTTGTGTAGATGCAGCATCTGTGATGGATGGTACTGGAATTAATCCTGGAAATAGAGATCATCGAGCTTCTGTAATGCATCCTCCAATAAAACGTCATAAACTGTATGGTTTCTTAGTTCATCTGATATGTGCACACACACATGTTGTAGTATGGCTATTTTGGTATCATTGTCATTGATCTTGTGCCCTGAAAACTTACTGATGTTTGGAGGATTCTCTTGATTTTGGATGTGCCTCAACTAGCAGAAAATGAGCATAATTAATATAAAATGAATCTCATTTCTTGCTGATTTCCTCCACTTCTCTCCTTTCCCTTGGTATTATATTATTAAGGGTGTGTTGAGATAAATTAAATTTTTGTTCAATACTTTTATTCCACAAGTGTCTTTTTGGCTTGGGATCTATGTTTGTCATTTCATTAGTATATGTTACCTTTACTGAAACAGGATGAACTATGATTAGTGTGCTTGCCCTAATTGTAATTGTTGTGTAAATCTTGATTACTTATTACTAACTATATTATCCCATCTATAATGTTAATTCACTTATTTGCTTAAAAATTAAGTTTGGAATTCAATATTTCTTCCCATTTCTTGTGACTTCGGATCATCCCTCTTAAATTTATCTCCAATCTATTATGTTTATTGCAGGATAGCAAGCGCATATTTACCTGTACTAGAAAGCCATGGAGCAGAATCTGGAGTGACAAAAACTGTGAGTTTCACAGATGGAATTACTCGTAAGTGTGCAATTTTGTGTGCTGTAAGTCATTTGTTCTTGCAGTTTTTTCCTTGTAGGTTTTGGCTAATGAGTTAGAGCTTGAAAAATAAAAGCTGTTCTTGATGTATGAACACAATTATCAATTTGTTTCCTTCATATCTCATTATTTTAGATGCACTAGAACAGGAGCATGTATATTTTGAAAACATCTTAGTTTGAACAGAAGAGAGATTGAATGCCAGAAAATCAATCAATACTCAAAAGAGGTAGCATGAAAGCTAAACTTTCCTTTTCAAAAAATTACAATTAGATAAATATTCTTTTAATCAAATCAAGTTCTGCTTTCATAAATTTAACCTTGTATTCAAGTAGTTGTCATCTCCATATATGCCCAAAGTTAAAATTCTCCAATCAATGGATCCATCTAATAAGAAATATTGTGTTCAAATGTAAAAGTACATTTCATACTTTTAAAATTCTTTATATCTGGAAATTGAAGGTTATCTAAATTTTTATTGGGAAACTACTTGACAATTGTTTCATAATATTCTTTATAGATGCCATCAAAGGCCTTCTTTGTTGGCTGTTTGGAGCAAATGAATTGTAGTTTTTCATAGATTTTTCTTGTTATATTCTACTTTTTACCCAAAAAAAAAAAAGAAAGATAATAGTGGAATTGATTTTTTTTTCAATTTATTTGCAATTGCATTTTTGTTGAGACTGTGCAGACTTTGTTTCTTGTAACTTTGGGCATTAATGATAACTACTGTTACTTTTAATGTATTATGCTGTTATCTCTTTGGGGGTTTGGGGCCTGGCCATGCAACAAATAACCTAATTACTTTTCTTTATTGCATTTAGGCAAGGATTTTCCTGAAAGAACTATTTCAGAACATGGAGATCCTAACCATAAAAACCTTGGCCAGGTTCATGTGCAACATCAACACACAATGAAAAATGGTATAAAGGAATTATATATTTTTGTTTTGAGAGTTATTAACCTTTTAGCAACTGTTGTGAAATGGAAGCTATAGCTCATTTATTTCCTTTGATTCATTAGTTTTGAGTGCTTCTAATATGACTTGGTGTTGGTACAACACTTGTATGTTTTTGTTGAATTAGATTTTCCTGCACCCCTTGCTACAAAGATATATTATTCTCAGAGGACCAATCGATTGCGTGCCACAATTCGTCATCTTTTCTTCCAGAACTTAAGTGAGCAATTGTGTACTGATGTTGTATGTCCAAAGACATCAGATGCAGAGATGGTTGCATTCCAACATTCATCTCAGAGGAACCCTTCATTTGATCAAGTGACCAATGTGCACAATGATGAGGTATGACATTCTTCATTCTTATTTGAGCCTGTTTATTTGAATTCTAGGTTGAGTCTTGTGACACAAGTTATGTGGTTCAAAGTGTTAGATGTACACATCAGACAGATATAATTTAATATTAAAATTTTGTTTATTCTAGATCTAAATATATTTTAGTCTTTTGGTCATTAAAAAGATCATGCTCTGCACTCTACTTGCTTGCTATATAACTTTCTGTCTGAATGCTAAAGGTAGAAATACCTGCCATTTCCCCCTCCCCCAAAAATACCCACCAAGAAAAAAATTGTAGTTCCATTCCAAGGTAACTGACTCTGATTATGTGCTTGTTTTTTAAAAACAGAGCTGCACTCCTGCTCAAAAATCTGATCATGCAAAAAACTCAGAAATTTGCTTGCTAAAAGCAGGAGGCCTGCCAAGTGGTGGCTTGTCAAATCAGTTTCTTCTTGATAATGTTTCAAGGCCTGCAGCCACTCATGTTGGTTTGACAAGAAGCAACTTTCTTCCAACTTCTTTTTCTTTTGCAAGCAACACAGGTAACCTTTTATTAAGTTGTCTTTTTATTTTTATTGTTATAGTAAGCTGCATGTGCCAATTATAGCATATGCTAAATTCAGAGAAGAAAAGGAAATCATCAAAAGATTGTCTCTAATTACATGACTGATGGTGGATTCACTATATTTTGACTGAGCTTAATAGTGTCGTCTGATCTATGTAGCCAACTTCACTTCCTGGGATAAAATTTAGTTGTTGTTGTTTGTTATATAGTGGATTCACCTGCATTTTGGTGGTAACTGTGATATGACTAGTTGAAGTTCAAGCTTTGGCATGAGGAAAACAATTGCTGCAGTGATACTCATTGCATTTAGATAAGCCATATAGCATGTTTTTACTTGTCGTACCTTTTCTTTTTCTGTCTGTCTTGTTATTTTAATTTACACTATGATGTTTATGGTAATAAGTTGTTAGTAAGAGTGATGTGTTTTGTTTTGTAGGAAATCCACTGAGAACAATGCAGCAATCAAATGGGAGTGTTCCTGTTATTTAGTAACCTTGGTGGGATTTTTTTGCGTAGGTGAAGTACAGGTAACCAATACAAGAGGTTAGGATTTAGCTCCTTTTTTGAAGCTGATAAAGTAAATTACTGAAATTGTTTATCCTGTCATCTGCTTTGTAAATGAAAATTTCTTTCTTTTATACAATGGATGGAAATGAAGAAATTGTTGATTCTATATCATTTAAGTCAGGGTACTTTCTCTTCTCTGTTATCTATTCTTTAACTTGTATGCTGTTAGTCAGGCTCATTGCATAGCAGATTTGCATCATTCTTGATATTTCAAGGTTTCACAATACAAGAGTATATTTCTTGTAATTGGACGTGAAGATTTTACGTTGTTATCAGCTGTTATGGGCTTGGTTATCTATATAATCGGTTGATAATCAGACTAAAACATCATATGATTCTGTTGAGTCTGTTTCTCCAGTTTCTTTAGAAAGCATTCTTCTTGAGATAATCTGCTACCTTATTTATCCAGGATCACAGAAATGCTAAATTAGTAAGTCCTATTACAGTTTTGTATTTGTTTTCTGAGGATTCTGAAAATTGTATCCAAAAGTAACCAGCCAGGCAAGTATCTCTCTTTTTTGGTTTGTTCAGTCCATTCCTTGTATGGTCAGGGCCAGGTATCAGGTATTAACCATGGATAAATGATTGTGGTATTTACGGGTTTGTGTTTTCACATTTCCTGTTTAAACTAAAGGCCTATCTCTCAATTTTGTACGACTCTTCCAAATTTTCAATAGTTGTGTCAAGTCGTTTTTACTCTTGAATTTATTTTGGACTAGCAAAGAACCGCATCGCTGCAAATTATGGTACGTAAATGAAATTGAGAATTTATGATGGGCATTTGAAAATTCGGTTGAGTATACTTGGATTTAGAATGTATTTTTTGTTTAGAGAAAAGTTAGTATTATCAGAAATAGAGTCCGCATCGGTCACTGGTCTTTTTTGCAATTTCATGCCTGAAATGAACACTGAAGCATATTCATAAATGCTATGAATATTCACCACATTCTCCTTATCTGTCGAAGTTTAAATAGGAGTGGAGAATTGGTGCTCCAAATCACTGTGAAATCGAGTATTTATTTCAAACTTTTTATATTATAGGGGAGGGGTGTTGTTTGGGATGGCAATTGGTAAGGAGTCAATCGCAAATAATTTCATTAAGTGGTCCTGTCCTTGTGCGTGATGGCGGTAGACATGGACTGGTTTGTCTCTAATGGGGAGAATTGTCCATACTTGATGCGTATCTTTTAATATCTAAAAGCACTTTCTTTATGCTTTCTGGAAAAAAAATATCAACAGATGTATGAAGTTAGATAAGATGGCATCATATGACTTGCTGGCGCAAGACTGATTGCAACTAAGCGAATGTTTCGTTGGATTTATTTTGGAAACACGTCTTAAACGTGTTGGAGTTTAAGTGGTCATTAGGATATGCTTAAATAGTACTTTACATATAGGTATTTATGGATGATTCATTGATAAAAATTTTCATTGATAGTGTGATTTGAAATACTTGAGATAGTTTCGTTCCTTACCAGTTGAATTGACTTCTATAGATGTTATTTTTAATCTTTAACAAGAATAATTGTTTTTAATTTGACTTTTTAATAGTTATTATGTGTTTAATTTTTCTTAATGTAATATTTCTGTAATTTTATCATGAGATTGATATAAATTTATTATAAATATTTTATATGTATAGAAATGAAATACAATTTTTCTTTTTGTGTATGATATCTTAATTTAATCTATATTTGTACTGTTTTATAACTATTAAACATTAGAGTAAGAATAATAAGCTGTGAAAATCATATTAAAAATGGTCGGACGTATGAAAATTAAGTAATTTTGTTATAAAAAAAAATAAAACTGTGTAGATCAAATATATACTTCAACTAAAAGATTAAAGTTTCGTAGCCAGTACATGGCAATGAGGGGAATTTGAATACTTTGCTAATGATGGAAAAATATTTTTTTATTAAATCCTATCATAATTGGTTGTAGGATTAGCTAATTATATTTGATAGCTTTTTAAACATGATCATATCTTATTATTGAATAATGTAAGATGGTCTAAATTTATAATGAGAAGCTTTAAATATTCTTTCAGTGTTATGAAAAGAAAGATAGTTTTAAAAATAAAACTTGTATTTATAATAAAAAATTGTCCCTAAAAATTTGCTTCTGATATTAAGTTGAAAATTTTAAAACACAAAAAAAAGATTTTTTTAATCATGATAGGAAAAAAAACTCATTTTGTGCGACAATAAAACGGACATGTTTTTATCATATATGGGATAGCGTCACACTTTAACTTGGTTCCCTTTTTCATCCAAACAACGTGCATCGGCCGAAAAGTTCAGTTAAGATAATTTTTATTTTGTGTTTAGGACGTAGGAGAGTTGAGTGATGTCTTTTGCGGGAGATGAAGTTGCTAGTGCAACTCTGTCCAAATGACTCAACTTATAATCTCAGTTCTCTTTCTTATCTTTAATATTCGCCAAAGGTGTTTTAAACTTCTGTCTCCTACTGTGATGTGGTCCTTTTGTCATTTTCTTAGTCACGATTGATCTTTGCTTTTGATTTGTTCTGTCTGTAATTCTATCAACAGCTACGCTCTTATGAACAATTAAATAAGATGTTGGATAAACTGGTCACTGACATATTAAAGTTGGGGGACAATTTGAGTTTTCAAAAATCTAACATCTGAGATAGTTAACCATACCTTACATTATGTCAGAATTTATCTTTACCTGCTACGATACATAAACAAATAACATTGCGTCATCCCTTCGCTAAGCTACAAATGTGAAAATAATACGTTAAGAATTCAAGAGAACAGGAAATTGCCCATATCTCACCTGGCCTTCATCTCAGCCACGATGTGCTTTCAAATTTTCAATCAATTTTTGGAGTGTTTATTATTACGTTTATTTGAATAATTTTATTTAAAATATTATATTACTGATATAGTTATAAGAGAAAAATAATTTAGATAAAAATAAAAATAGAGACTTAAGAGTGACAGGAAACACCCTTACTTGTATATAATATGAAACTCAGATACAGCTAAAAGCTTCTTTGTCATAGAGAAAGGAACTAAAGTTCAACTTAAAAATATCTTACGAGGCACTTGATAGATTGTTAGGAAATACAGTGTGAATGGAGGCACTTGACGTCTTAAATATTGTGCAACTTCATTTATTTCTTTTCAATTTTATACAGTTTCCCACGTCCCACGTTATAAGATGATGATCCCTTTTTGTCAAACTTGGAGGAGGGATGGAGGACGCGTTGCTTCATTGAGTTTTATTCAGTAATATTAGTTTTTTACTGTTTGAATATTTTAACATACAAGTTGATTTTATAACATAGTTAAGTTAATGGTTAAAATATGTTTCTTATTTTTAATTAATTTTTTTCAATTTCATAAAATATCTTTTTTTCCAAATTAATCCTTTAATATATTGTTTAGTCATTTAACTTTTATTGTTTCTATCAAAATTTTTACTTCACTCAATTATGAAAGTGAATTACAAGGCATTTACTTGCATTGACGCCGTAAATACAGTTTTAGTTGGGAATTAAATATCTAAAAGTATGTTGAGCAGATAGATAACTAAATTTAAGAAAACTAAAATAAATGTAAAATAAATATATAGAGCCTCACTCACAAACCATTGTTAACATCCTTTGTATGTAATGGAAAGCCAACTAAAAAAATTTCTTCCAAAAGAAAGGAGATTTCATACCTAAAATTGAAACTTTTTCTTTGCAAGATTTTAGCTTCTATGTTTTAACGTTTAAAGTTCTTATTAAGATAACATAAAATGTTTGTGAGGTGTTTGCTTTGCATTGTTGAAAGTGCAAAATAATAATAGGTTTTGCAACTTCTTTATTGGGTTTAGTTCTCTATAGTGTTTTGTGATGTTTTATTGTCACAAAACACTACTGTTTCTTTGATGATGCTGATACAGAATAAGCTTTCTTCAAGGAGTAATGATTTTGACAAAAAAAAGTAAAATCAAAATTAACAAATAAAAAAATATTAATTTAATGTTCATAAATGTATAATAATGTTACTTTAGCAAATATTTCAGAACAAGTTTTAAACAAATTTATTCTATATAATAGCCTATTTTTTAAAAATTTATGAGTGGGATGAATGAAATTCTTTATAAATATTTTAAAAATAAAAACAAAAATTAAATTAAATTTCATAAATAAATTAATATTTATTTATACACCTAAAATTTCCCTAAATTTTATTATTTAAATTTATATATCTTTAACATAAATATAAATAGAAGTTAATTCAAATGGTCTATAATATTTTCTTTCTGGACTGAAAATTTTAGATATATTTACTTTTATAAATCATTCAAATCTTTTGCTACTAATTCACGTCTAACTACTTTTTTTTTACAGAGGCAAATAGAATGTTTGAGAATAATTTTTTGCTTAATTATACTTTCAGTCCTTTTAATTTTAATTACTCACATTTAATCGTTTTAATTTTTAAATTCAGTTTCTTATTTCAAAATTTTATCCAATCTTTAACAAAAATATAATAGAAATGTTACATATTATTGATTTGTATAACTTAATTAGTAAAGAAAAATATATAAATTATTTAAATAAAAATACTAAATGAAATATATAAAATATAATAAAGCATTTTTTTATTTAATTATTTTATATTTTTTATTTATAGATTTGTATAAATCAATGATATATATATATATATATATATATATTATATTTGTTATATTTTTGTTAATTGGATGATATTTTGGAATAAGAAACTTAAATTTGAACAATTAAAAAATTAGAAATTAAATATGAATAATTAAAATTAGAAGACTAAATTACACAAAAATTAAATAAAATTAAAAATACAATTAAAAGCTGAAATTTATTTGAAAAAAGGATGAAAAAACTGGCATAGTACGTTGTTAATGTTTGGTGGTATTAACCTAACTTGAAGAGAAATTTAATAAGAAGTTGCTCTCTCTGATGGAAGAGAGAAAACAAAAAAATTTCCAAAGCTTATAAAGGCAACGGGTTGATTTACATCAATAACAATTTGAGCATGTAAGAAGCAAAAATGGGTAGCAAATTAATTGTAGTAGTTGATAGAATGGACTCTAATAATGCAATGAAAACCATTGTTTTTGCGTATAGATATTAGTATGGTGGGGTAGGATGACCTCTACCTACTGCTAAGTTGTGGTAGGAAGCCCAAGAACAGTGCCACTAAACTTATCCACCCCATTTGGACAAGGACATGAGCTCTTGTTTCTTCTTCTTCACTATATTTTATCAATTCCGCAATAATGCCATCACGGACAATAAGCTTTTAAGCAATTGGTTTTGATTGTACTCTAATTTTGTAAAAGGGGAAGAATCTCCTACAGGATTGAAACTTACAAGGATCACTAATTAACGAGTGACATATTGGTCATGATGAATTACTGTCATTACCAAAGGATATATATTAGGGATTATAAAACTTTTTAAAAAATACAAATAATATTTTATTAAAGGGTTTTAAGGTGTATTTAAGATGAAATAAATATTGATGCCATTTTTTATGTTGCTAAAAACAAAGAATCCACTCCAAAGTACTTGAACAAGTAACTAAACAATGTTGAATCTTTTGGATGGCTGCAGTTGTCCAGTTTTGGTGATATTTAAATGTGTTAGATGTGGAAGTGAATGATACTTGATAGATGTTGTTGTTTAGTATGGGTTCAGTGTTATAGATATGAATGTCCTGTTAACAACTACTACATGTGATTAGTGATTTAATTACTCATTGATATAAGTATGCAACTGAATTTGGGTTATTTCATCATATCATTCAATCGTTTCCTAAGAAAATAATGAAGGGTAGATTGTATAAAAAAGGTTAAAAATGACTGTGTTGGGTTGCTTGTAAACGAAGGTTATCGATTTGTTTGTTTTTCTAAGGGCCAGTTACGAGAGTGAATGATTCTAGATTAAATTAACTTAAAAGAAAAATAAAATTATGCCTTAATATTTAAACAGGTTTTATAAAAATGTCCGAGGTTTTAATATAATGTATGATAATATTTAAGAAATTAATGTCATGGTTACGAAAAAAAAATCTAATGCATGCAAGCGGGCCATGAACGTAACCATCTTGTACAAGGTTGATTGTTCATTGTTAATTTTTGCAACTTTTTTTTTTTTACATTTATTTTCATATCTTCATATGCAATGAGAGATTTCGGTTTTTTTTTTCTAGAATTATCATTCACTATCACATTAAGTATTTGATTAGTTCAAATGAAGTTAAATGAAATAATTATAAATTATAAAATTTCCTTCCAAATTTTAATGCGACTATTGACTGAATATAAATTTGTAAGTACGCATGTACTGATTTATTGCCTTTCAAGCAGTGTCCAAAAGCTAGATATGGTTGACATGTGGAGAAACCTTCCCCCTTAAACAAGAGATTCTAAATTAAGATAGAAGTGATGAATTTTAAAATTTTTAAGTAAAAAAATTAATTTTTTATATGAAACTAAATACGAGTTATATTGTTGAGAATTTTAATTAAAAATACTGTAAATAATAATAATAAAGTAAATAATATTTTTTATTTTTAAAATTTAAAATAAAATTAATAAAAATTATGAAAAAAGTTAAATAGTGTACTCTCATAGAAGTTGATAGAAAAGAGTGCCAATGAATGTTTATTTTTGGATAAGGGATTTCCTATTATACTAAAGATAAGTTTCCTAATATGCAGAGAAAATGCTGTTAAAACTGAAAAAAAAAAGACTTTCAAGTTTCTAACATTCTAAAATACTTGTAATAAAAAAAACATAATAATTAAAAGAAAATTTACATTATATAAAAATCATTATTTACGTCAACAAATCAACCAATAATAATACATAGAAAGGCAAAATAAAAAAATACTTTATAATTTTTTTAACTAATGCTAACTAATAATCTAAGAAGTAAAAGGTGATTTTAAAAAATAATATTAATTCCTTTTCAATTAATATATTTTATTTATTAGTTTTTAAATTATATCTCATAACTTTTTCCTAAATATTAAAGCACTGATGCATCTCACAATCACAAATGACTATTCAATCACGGTAGAACAAAATAGTAGTAAAAATCATTAAATGGTCTAATAATTTAGATTTTAATTAAGACACAGGCAAGACTCAAGTCCTGCGGCAGCACCAGCAAACAACAAAATCACCAACCTTGGAACAACAAAATAACTCCTATATTAACCTCTCTCTCTCTCTCTCCAAACCATAATTCCATTGCATTTTACAGCATCACCCTTTATTTTATTACTTTCCCTTTCTCTATCCTAAAAACAAAACACACACAAAACCACTGCACCCTTATCAGCTATCATCAGAATCCCATCACTCTCTCTCTCTCTACCCTTTCCGCAACCCACCAAAAAAGAATAAATTTTTTAAATTCCCCTCAATCAACGCAAAGCTTAAATAATAAATAACCCTTTGCCCACCTTCATCTTCTCTCTCTCTTGTTCTGACGCATTCACTACCCTTGTGAAAGTTGAAACCTTTGAGCTGAAGATGGCGATAATAAGGAGCATAATTCAGGAGATGAGATCAAGGTCGCATCGAGTGGTTCAGGAGCAAGAGGAGGTTCTGATTGATGATGGCATGAAGCAGAGTTGTTGGGCCAACATGCCACAAGAGCTTCTTCGTGAGGTTCTCCTTCGAATCGAGGCTTCCGAGGACACGTGGCCACCCAGGAAGAACGTTGTGGCATGTGCTGGAGTGTGCCGTAGCTGGAGACAGATCACAAAAGACATCGTCAAAACACCACAACTCTCTTCCAAGATAACCTTCCCCATTTCTGTTAAACAGGTTTCTTTTCCTTTCCCACAATGTCCCTTTTCCATATACTTCCTCTTTTCTCCTTAATTTTTTTTTTTATTATTATTTGACTGTATTCATCTACCCTCTGTTCTGTTGGGTGGCTTTTACCTTTTACTGAGGGTAAAGCTTTTTTTTTTTTGTGGCATTTAGATTAATTGGGTTTTGTATGATATTGATTCCTAGTTAATTCTTTTTATTATGATTTCTTATGTTACTACTACTTTGTTTCTTTGTAGTTTTTGTTATTGATTTTTGTGAAAATTGATTTCAATACTTTAACCTTCCTGTTGTGCTTAGATTGTTTTGTGACAAATAAAATAAAATAAAGATATTGATACTACGGTTACCCTTGGCGTGAAGGCAAGGGTGCACGAAATCGTGAGCTGAGGGGTAGAGTTGAACCTCTTTTTTTTTTTTTTTTTTCTGTTGAGTTTCCAATATGTAATTCAATTAACTTCATTTGTGTGGGATGTTAATAAGATTTTCCTTTGTGCTCTTTTTCAGTTTCTGCTTTTCGTGATTTTGACTTAACACTATCCCCTGTGGAAAATAAAATGTGTAATTCTTGCTTACCCTGTATAAACCAACCCCTATTAGGGTTCTTTATCTCTGTGTGGTAATTTGTGGTTTTGGTTGGTCCATCGTATTTGTGGATAATCTTGGGTTTTTGGCATAATTCTTGAGACATCACTAGAATTAATGTTCTATATCACCTGGGAGGCTGGGACCACTATATAGTGATGTCAATTTTTTAGTTATTCTGAAACTTTGCATGGGAAATTACTCTGCAATTCCCTTCTAGACATTGTAAAGGACCACGTTTAGTATTTTTTTTCGCAGCCTTAATGCAACTTACATCAAGAAGTGTTTTGTATTGTGCTGCCTAGTGCCTAGTTGTTTTAATTCAATTATCTTCTATTGGATAGTGGCCGCTGAAACTTCTTTGTTCTTGTCGTATACACTAGGCTAAAAAGTAAAAGAATAGATCACTCTTTTGGGCAAATTGAGTGGGCACTAGAAGATGCCTCTTTGGTGTGGAATGCTTTGATTTATTTTTTATTTTCCTACTCTCCTTGGTATTGCTCTAAAGATTCCCTTGTTTGTAGGAAAGGCATGATAATTTAATGTGACTGTTGGACTTGTCTTTTTATTGCTAAGCTCTACAATTTGTTAGTTTCCTGCCCTTTTGCATTACTTTAACATGCTTTCATTGGTGAATAATTTTGGCAGCCTGGCCCAAGGGAGAATCTCCTCCAGTGCTTTATAAAGCGCAACCGGTCCACCCAAACATATTATTTGTATCTCAGTTTATCTAGTAGTGAGTATATAATACAACTTGTTGAACACTTCCAGTAAAAACTTTAGTTTCTTTGTTTTCCGTCATTCTTTCCTTTCCTTTTTGAAGCATGAAAGGTTTTGATTTGATTCTAATAGTGTGTTCCTTTTGGTCATTGTTTTCTTTAATTCAGCATTATCTGATGATGGGAAATTCCTTCTGGCTGCACGCAAATGCAGACGTCCCACTTGCACAGATTATGTAATCTCTCTAGATGCGGATGATATGTCAAAGGGAAGCAACACCTATGTTGGGAAACTAAGGTGTGATGCTACTTATGCACTGTGACCATTTTTGTCTTGTTTATTAGTGCTGAGACTTATCTTTTTCTTCCCCTTTGATCAGATCAAATTTTCTTGGAACCAAGTTCACAATCTATGATGGCCAGCCACCTCATGCAGGGGCAAAGATTATGAAGAGTCGGTCCACTAGACTGGTGAATCTAAAGCAAGTTTCACCCAAGGTCCCTACAGGCAATTATCCAGTGGCACACATTTCATATGAATTGAATGTGCTAGGCTCTAGGTGAGTTTTTCATATTGTATCTGTACATAATCATCCTGCATGAAAGCAACTAACAGTTATACCATAATTTTCTTTGCATTAATTTTGTTCTGCCATCCATAGTATCTTTGGGTGGACGATAGTATTTTAACTTTGAGTTTCCAAGGTGTTTGATAAAAGCATACAAGCTTATGGTGCACTCTTAATATTTCTACTATGATATACTTACAATCTTTATTTGGTAAGCAGGGGGCCTAGGAGAATGCATTGTGTCATGGACTCCATTCCTACCTCAGCGATTGAACCTGGAGGGGTAGCCCCTACACAGACCGAGTTTTGTCTTAGCAGCATAGATATGTTTCCTTCATTCCCCTTTTTTCGATCAAAATCAAAGCGTGTGGAAAATTCCGTGTCTAGACCCCTGGGGGATCAAAATGATGGGATGCTAGTGTTGAAAAACAAGGCTCCCAGGTGGCACGAACAGCTACAGTGTTGGTGCTTAAACTTTCATGGTCGGGTGACAATTGCCTCAGTTAAAAACTTTCAACTGGTGGCTTCTGCAGAAAATGGACCTGCTGGACCAGAACATGATAAGATTATCCTCCAATTTGGAAAAGTTGGGAAGGATTTGTTTACAATGGATTACCGGTACCCTATTTCGGCATTTCAGGCATTTGCAATCTGCCTCAGCAGCTTTGATACCAAGATTGCTTGTGAATGATGTGTGTATAAAGGTATTCATTTGATAGTTCAATAATCTTAACATTGATTAATAGAAAGCTGTAGAAGCTAATTGGTATTTTGTTGTAATTCCATTGCTAGATCACCAAGCAATTACATTTTAGTTAATTGGTTTAGCTTACATTAGTGCCACTATACAACAGCGTGCCATATAATATAATTAATTTGGGTACTATTAACTAGTGCCTAAAAGCACCTTTAAGATCACCATTTACTAAAAAGATCAGCATTTACATTAGGAGCTTTGATAAAACACTTATATTTGTGATTTCTTTTCGGCAACTGACCATGTTATATTTGTTTCTCGTTGATGCCAGCTTCAATCAGATTATATAGCTATCTCTATTGGTGCTGGGACAAGTGTGGTTTGAATGTGACTTGTTGGGAAGCAGACCAATGAAAAGTGTTCAGTAAGGATGGGACTGAACTAAATTTTAAGGGACAGTGCTGCACAGTTGAGAGTTTTCAGTTTCTGGGATCACAAATCACCACTTCTCCGGAAGATAACTTGAAATTGGAACATTACTTAGAACATTCCTCGTGTACATAAATTCACTCAATTTTTCTTTTGTTTTCTTAAAAGCTTGCTTTTTTTAATCATTTGTTGTTTATGGCTATGCTAATATAGTGGTGGTGTCTGCTGATGTTTCTAGCTTTCAACTTCGGCGATTTTCAAGTTGAGAACGTTATTGTTCATAACATGTTAGTACTTGCAAGGACACAAACGCATAAAAACTCGCTATCAACACTCAACACCCTCCCTCCCCCCCCCCCCCAGCAAAAAAAAATGAGATAATGTGATCTTTTGAATGCACTAAACACAATGCTTCAGCAGTTCATAGCACGTCACGAGAGAATGTGTAATCTAGTCTCTGTCACCATTTTGAGTTAGTTTCTAACTCCTAGGAACTTTCCAATTATAAAATTTCGTCGTTGAGATGTCTATAAGAATGTTGTTAATTATTGGTTTCAGAAAATGTTTTCTTTCTTTCACTTTTAGTTGTAAATTATCTTGTTTTCATTTTGTTTCTTGTTTTTAAATATTTTTAAAATATAAGAAAATAGAAAAAAAAAACCCATCAACTATCTTGTAAAAAAGTTTTAAAACAGAAAAAAAAAAATACAAAAAGGTGATACTTTTATAACATTTTCTTAAAAAATCAAACAGTCTCTTAAATTCTCTTATGTTTAATGTGTTTATGAAGGAGTTAAATAAGACTTTCTGAAAATGTTAAGAACTACATAAATTAATTATAATTTGTGTAAAATTTGATTCATTTTATTTTATTGATTCTTTTTTCTTATAAATATTTGTTAAAAAATTAATTCAAACAAATCTATGGCCCCTTAAAAATCATGTCATTTGTGTCTGACCAGCTACTTGATTTTGATTAATTTTTGAAGAAAATGTTTTTCTTCAAGAGATCTCTAAGTAAGATTTTGATTATGAACTGTTTTAATCTGAAGTAAACTAATTTAAATATGCAGAAATACCTTAGCCATTAAAATAAATAAATAGTGTTTTTTCTTTCGGTGTAAAAAAAGGTGTTTACTTTTGGATTTTGCACCATGTATGACATTTAAACCAGACACTAGCTATATCCAACGAACATGTGCATGAATGAGCCTTTGATGATATAATGCAAACTAAACAAAATGCCAGTAATAAGCACCAATAATCAAATGGACTACTAAATTGTCAATATATGTCATATAATCAATAACATAATTTGTTGAATGTCAATAAATATACTATTAAACGACAAACAAATGCTACAACAAAAGAAAAGGAAAAACAAACAGAAATAGAATTCATAGCTAAAGTAAGAAAATTTGATCGCTGTGACACAATGATAGTGAAACTTCCTCCGCAAACCCAACTTTGGGCCATGTTGAAAAGAACCATTATTAACAAAACCTTTTTTACCGTCCTTCAAATTTAGGCCATAATTTTTTTTTATTCTCTCTGCAATTCTATGAAATTTCCTCTGATGAATCCTCTCAGCTATGTATTATCTGATTTCTGACCTTGTTTGTTGTTTCTTGGCCTTTAGTTGGTCCCTGCTCTGAATTCTCTCCAATTTCTCTGTATTTTTCTGGTGCCACTTCTTCTTCAGTAATAAATAAATCTCGACCGTTATAAATTTTTAAAAAGATTGTTAACTTGTTCGTTTGTCTTAGTAAATTAAAATAAAAATAAATTTCATGCAATAATTTTAGTTAAAGAACTTTAATTGTATCTAAATAACAATCTCAATCATTGATTAGAAAATTAATAATTGTTACAGCCTTTGATCCTCGAAACTACAATTTATAATGCAGTCAAATATCATGCCTATTACATTTTTAATCGAAAGACTTCAATTAAACAATTTTCTTAAACATTTGCATTGTAATATGCAAACGATTTTAAAAGTAAAACGAGTTAACATAAAAAAATATTCATTTTTAATTTCAAATCAATTTGTTATACTAGAAAGAAACTCACAGGATTGATTCGTTCGACCTAGTTTGAGTAAGATTGCTTCGTATGAATGATATTTATAGTTTAAGCACAACATAAATAAATCAATTTGATAAGAAAAAAAAACTCGTAAACATATAGCAAAACTGCAATATTAGCTAGTCACTTGCAACTTTGTTGCTTGCATGAAAGTTATGCGTAAACCATACTACCAAAGAAAGAAGCACAAGGAGCAAGGCAGCAATGTAACACAAAATTGCTGCAACTGTAACTGTTGTGAATGGGGGATGGAGTGAAAGAGAGAAAATTGGAGAGACCACTATGGAGAAGATCAAATATTAACCCTTGTTAGATATTATATTACATAATGCATTGCTCCTTTATTTCAAAATATTATTAGTTTTAGGAACAAAAAAAAAATAAAAATCTTCCTTCATATGATTATTTTTTTAGAAGAAAATTTTAAGACATGAATTATATGTTGCTTAAAATTAAAAATATTTCAATAACTTACACAATTATTATGTAAAATCCTTAATCAAGTGATATTTTGAAATGAGAAATTTAAAATTAATACACATTCAGATGGCAACTTAATTCAATGCTTATTCAATAAAACTCTTATTACGAGAGATTTATAGGATAAATTTCATCATAAAATGTATTGACATAAACTAAATATTTTATTTTGATAAATTATATAAAAAAACTTATTGAAATAAGTTTAAAAAAGTTATCAAACTATTTTCATAAACTCTCTGTAAGCTCTTTTAAACACACCCTCAGCTTATTAAACTAAGCAGTATTGAATAGAAATGTGCACAACATGAGCACAAATGACAAAAATGTAATCTGCCACCCACCTTGGCTAATGGCTACATTATATGGAATAACTATAATAATGTCTCTGCTTGAGGTTTAAACCAAGAAAAGGCATCCTCATCTAGTGCTTACAAAATAACCTGTCCCCGTGCAAGGGTATAACTACATGTTATATACATGATTATCATACATTACAAATTTACAACAATTATGCTGCTTGCATGCTCACGCTTGATTCATGGCTCTTAACTGCGGATTCAGCACCTTCTTCCTCCTCAGAAGGTAGATCATCTGAATGCAGTTCAGGTTGCTTAAGGCTCCGAACAAACTCAGTGAATGAAGGAAAGTGCTCTGGAGAAAAGAAATATGCTCCCATTCTATGATATGTAAACAACTCCACTACATTATCTCCTGATAGATTCTTCTTAATTTGTTCAAAACCACCTGCAACACCAGACTCAGATGAATTTTGACCTGAAACCTTTACCTCATGCTTTCTGCATGCTGCCATAATTTGTGCAAGTAGCAACTCAGGGCTAGAATGGTTCTCCTTTGGTTGGTTTGCATCTGAAAGGTCCATGCCAGGTAATATCATTTTGCATGAGTTCCTAGCAAACATCTTTGCAACTGGTTCATAGCCATCCTTGTTAGCTGTGTTACAGAACCCTGCGGTTAGCTCGGAAGGATGGGCTCGAGTTCCATACCAAGAGTGCATAAGAGGGATTTTCCCATAAATTGTCACTCCAGTGTCACCAAAAGTAGAAGCTGCTAAGGAAAGGAGGGAATCTCCATGAGTTATGAGCTGATTAGAATACCAGGAAAGGAAGAAGTCCCCATATGTAGACTCCCAAGAACCCCCATCTTTAAAGAAGCTATTGGTGTATGGGGATTGATCATAGGCAGGTGCATCATGTGGACCTCCAAGTCCCCATAAAGGATTTCCAGATGCCTCAGCATGTTGTTTGAGAAAGCTCAGCATGTTTTGGTCATAACACTGGAACTCTCCAGCTCCTTCAGTTTTACCATTACTTGGTAGCTGGTGGTGAGATGGATACCGTAGCTCGCCATCTGGTCCTAAACCCATGGAAATACTCTGCAGTATATGAATAAATTGTCAGTCATATAAATAATCTGAAAGTGGATATTGGGATACATAAGAGGTCCTGGAATCCAGAATTCTTACTGTAATTGTAGAGCTCATGAATGGAGAGAATGAGGACTTGAAGCTCTCACAGAAACTCTGGTATACTTGCATTGGAGTCTTCCCATCAAGAACAGGAAGATTATCAACTGCCAGTGACAAGCATTCTTTGTAATGCTGTCCCGACCTATCTGTAAAGAAAATACTGGGTTGAGATTCACCAATCTGGGATACCCATTTAGGTAGTGGAATATTTGGTTTTTTAGACCCATGAAAGCAAAGTGTCACATGGAGCTTGAGACCCACTTTCTGAACCATCTCAGCAATAGCAAGATAGCCTGACCAATCATATTCTCCCATGGCATCTTTCTCAACAATTCCCCACCAAATTGGGAGCTCAACACCTTCAACTCCTAATAGCTTCAAAGCTTTTAGGCCAGCTGCAATTGCCCTAGCATGGTTTATTGAATTGCAGTCATAAGAAACAGCATCTAGGGGCAGCCCCACAAATAATCTTACACCATCTACCTGCAACATATTATTTTAAGCATATCAGTTACTTTCTAATGCCTTGAGCTACCCATTATCTAATGAAACTCGGTGTATTTGGCCACCTAACACGTAGCATGATTGCATGAAATTTGAATGAAGAAGAACAATAAACTCCTTTTTCAGTTTCTAAACCTCTATTATGTACATCCACTTCAGACACAAATACTTGTTTTTCACAGTTTCATTTATCAATGGATACAATGCAATCAGAGTTAACCAAATAAAAATTCATTGTTGCTCCTTTAATTGTGGCGAATAGCTCCAAAATCATTCCAACCCTCATACAAAAGAGTAAGAAGAAAGAAAATCCACTAAAACTCATAGGATAACAATTTCAAGGAAAAATGATCACCCAATAAGTATAAAAAAATTCTTAAAAGGGTTGACTTCAAGTATTTAACAATGCTTAACAATATAAATGAAGAATTTTTAAGTGTTTAACAAGCTAATTTGGATTTTGGATAGCCTTGATATTTTCATTTAATTTCAAGCTAACAGATACAAAATTTAAGTCAAACCAATTACAAAGAATAAAAAATAAAAAAATTAACTAATATATCATTTCCTTCCAAGTCAAACACAATAAAAATCCCAATTTCCCCCCATGATTTTTCAGCAACCAAACACAGCAAACAACATTAAAACAAAACAGAAAACTCACCGTTTTGGATCTTGTTCCAGATCCACAATGTTTCTTTTCCTCTACAACGGGTTCAGATTGAAGAGCCCTCAAAGTGAAGCGTATCCCAGCCTTCTTCCACCTTATATTCCGATCAAAACAAACTCTATGACTCGAAAACCTGAAATTATCCTTCAGATTACAAAATCCAAGTTCCCTATATGCCGAATCGTACTTTCCCACCTTCACTTGAGAACTCCCAATCACCGAAACCTCCATGGCCAAGAAGATAAATGAAAAGCGTAATAATCACAACACAACAATTTTTTTTTCACCAAAAGAATCAAAATTCCAGCCTTTTCAGGATGTTCACTTTAGATTTCCAAGAGAAATTGCGCAGAAAAACGTGGGTTTGAAAGAAAGAAGAGATTTTGAAGATGGGAAATTTGAAGCGGGTAAGGTTCATATATATAAAGACATGGAACCTGAAACGCGCTTTTTTTTCCCTTTGCGACCAGTGAAAGAAAGAGAGACAGAAGCTTCAAAAAAATGAGCCACGTGTCCTCATCATAGGAAGCAAAAGTTGAGCCGCAGAATACTATTGTTGATTTTTTCATTAAAAAAAGTCGAAATTATTAAGGACCAAACAAACCCATCAACGAACAAGTTTATATGAGAAAAATAAAAATTGTACGGCAAATAATATAAGTAATATAAAAAATTGCATTTTATTATGAAAATAATTTTATATAGATTTGACAACCCTACTAATTAATATAGGGATTAATTAAAAAATAAAAAATATCACCAAGACATTTTTAATAAAATTAATTTATTCTTAATTCTATAATCAATACCCGTTGATTAACAAGAATTTGTAAGTTTATGGTTCTGATGTTATGCAAATCTGTGACCTATAATTTTTTACTTAGAATAGTATATATTTAAAACAAAAATATTAAAGATGATGTTACACTCACCAGACCGACAGAAGGATAGATTCCAATCCTGTCCCATGAAACATGTTACATCAATTATCCAAAATGAATTAATTATGGATGCACTTTTAACTGTGGATTTATTAATGGTTTAATTTGTAGTGTGTTATGTAGAAAAAATGGCAAGTGGCAATTGGTTGTTGAAAAGTTGCTGGGGGCGTGAAGGCAAAGGTACACAACACAACGTTAAGATTCATAGATTGAATGATATGTTGTGGATTGGCATCACGCGTGGAGCAAAGGTTCTGGCTATGCTGCGTGTGTGCTGACTCATATCCTATGTGCTCTGTGGTGTGGTGTTCATGTGGGGTCTTCAGATTCTGAATCAGATTCACTTCATTGGTCCGGGTTTCAGGATCTGCTTCTGTTTCTGCAGTACTGGTTTTGGATCCCTCCTTCTATGACTCGGATCAGACTATGCAACTTATGGTTCTGGATAAGAAAATCTTGTTTTCTATTGTTTAGGTTATAGACAAATTTTGAAAGCAAATACAAAATTGGTTTATAGTTTAAATATATACCGTAACACTTTATTATTGTTCACATATATACTAGTGACACAAGTTAAATTCAAATCTTTTACGTGGACCTAGTAGCATGCCAGCGATGGAAGCTTTCCACACTTTGAGTAGTGTATTTCTTATTAGAATCTAATTCTTAATTCAACTTTAAATAAAGAATTTGAAAAAATGTTTAAAATTATAACGCCTAATTTTTATTCCAAAACTTATAAGTCCAACTCAGAGTGTCAATTAGAAATTTAATATTAGGTATCATTTCGCAGTTGAACTGATTTAAAAATATGAACAAAAAGAGTCGTGTAAGTTGAATCTGTACGTCAAATATACTTTGTTTGTTTAATGTTGTAATTTTTCGTAAACGCAACTTTCTTCCGATTAATCTGTTCATAAAAGTAAGTTTATATCTGTTATAAAATACTCTACTTATTAATTTTCTGATTATCAAATTGAATAACGAAAATATTATTGTGTTAGACAGAGACACAATTTCTACTCAATTACACACACACACACACACATCAAAACTACTGGCTGATAATCGAAGACAAAAGGAATGGGCATGCCAAAATATTTGCAGTGACTATTTTATTGTGAAAAAAATGATTATATCGAGCCGGAAAATTTGAGCAGTTTCTTGTAATTTTGTGGCCGGCTAAATTGATTGAAACAAATTGTGTGGTATTTATTAGGTTGGGTTCATCAAGTTACGTGTCATGATCGTAGATGTGCAGATAAACGTGTTTTTTTGTTTGATTGATTCATTGGGTACGTGGAAATATATGGAGAAGGGAAAGATCCAAATTGAACCTTCATCGTCTCTTACTTTATAAATAATTTGGATATAATGCATATTTATTATCATAATTTCAATTGCGTTTGAGATTTGTGGACCTCCAACTTTTGTCACTAATCAGAGATACAGAAGCTTTCTCTGATTAAATTGTACTGAAAAAATAACTTGTAATTTAAAAAATATTTGTTTGTTAACGTATCCTGTTAAGGCCCATAATGGACAACTCACTAGTGTCCGTAGCGTACAAAACATTGAAGGTGTATATATATATCATTGTGACGACAACCCAATTCATAAATCGAATTCAAACATCAATCATTCATCTGAAGACCTTCACATGCTCATCACTTATACGCGACTATGACTTGTACATTTCAACACAGTATGAAGCTTTTTTCATTTTTATATACTTTGCATAAACTATTCAAAATAATGGATAAGTTTTTTGTTTCCTTATCTTATGTTCTTCCGTATTTGATTTCATTTTTGGTACATCTTGCGATTTCGATTTTATCCATTTTAAAATAATTTAGTATTATTTTTACAAGTCCTTTAAAAAAAATATTAAAGCGATAAAAGAAATGTGGATCTATCATCCTTAGCCATTTAAGCTCTACTCGTCATGGCAATAGGTCAAGTTGCTTGTGATTACTCAAATTCTGGAAACATTATTTGAGCCTTTGATTTGAAGTTGTTTCTAGCATAAAAGAATAAAAATGTATCCATTTTCTCTAATATATTTTATTTTCTTATTGATGCTTTTTTAAAACCAATTAGGGAGTAGCAGTTTGAGTTATGGTAACTTAATACTTGGAATGTATGTAGCTGAGCAATTGTAATAAACTTAAGACCTTGCTCAACGTTTTATTAAAAATTTATAGTAGGGTTATATTAAAAATTACCCTATGAGTATTATTTTTTCATAAAATTAATTTTAATGAATATTTATTTTAGATTAAAATATAATTCGTTCGTTGGTATTTTTTTTAGTTTGATTTATACATAAAAAATTATATTTCAATCCATACATAAATTTTATTTATAAATTAATTTCTATGATTTATTAAAGTTATAATATTATGAGAGATTTTTTATATAAAAATAAAATTTTAAAAATAATATATCAAGCGTTAAAACCAAAATAAAGTGCATTACAATGACTAAAAAAATTGTAAGTATAGGGAGAAAGTATAATGTTATTATAACTAAGATGTATAGTTTTTTCTGTAAGAAATCAAGAAACGTTCGAAAGAGTTAGTGAAAAAATTATGAAAATAGTTAAGAATTTTAATAATATTTTTAAATTTATTATAGTAAATTTTTAAATAAATAATTTAATCAAATAATTACTAAATAAACTTTTATGAAACGAATACTTATGGCGGAAATATAATTACAAAATTTTCTGAAATAAATTTCAAAGAATCTATTTTAATAAATGATACTAATTTATTTATTAAATTAAATTAAAAATTATGATAATTATAAAATATTTTTAAAGTTTTTTTATAAGGTTAAATTTATATTATAAATTCACATGTACTATTTTTTAAAATAAACATTTATTTTGTTATTTATTTAAACACAGGTTAAAATAAAAAACGATATCGAAAAAATATTAAGTTTTGATTATTTCAGTTTTCTCTAAAGCCCTTTAAACGTTTCCTTCGATGAAAACGGAACTCGTGCTTTTCACGTTTTCAACGATTATCCTCGGATGAAGCATAATGTTTGTTTAGTCATAGAAATCCGTTCACCCCAAGAAAATGTTAAAACATTATCATTAGGCTATAGCTAGCTTATCTCCTTAACAAAGTAGATTATAAGGAATTAACCCACAATGTTTAAGGTAAAGTTTTGTATTTTCAAAATTAACTTTACATGAATAGAATTTATTTTTAAAAAAACAAAGCATGAAAGCGTAACTTTTAAAGTGGGTATGATAATTGACTTTGAGAATAAGACCCACAAAAGTATGAAAAACGTTTATATTTACATTCCAAAGTGATTTTTTATTACCATCTAAAAAATCAATTCTTAAAAATTATTCTAAAACTAATAATTTTTTAACATAATTTTTTCTATCTTTGTTGCCGTCACAATAAACATACAAGTCTAAACTTGAGAAATTTTTCCTTGTTTATGCAGTTGTTGCCGTTGGTTAGCGTGCAGAGTGGAAAAATTATGGTAGGTGAGATTGCCAGTACAATAACGTCTTATTCCTTAATAAGGAGGTGGTGGTCCTGGTGGGCCATCGGAAGGCCCACCTGGAGGCCCAGGAGGAGCTGGAGACCAATAAGGGCCAGGAGGAGCTGGTGGTGGCGGCGGAGGTCCTGGTGGGCTAGGCACTGGCGGTGGACCAACAGGATCCGGTACAGGCAGCGGTGGAGCCACCGGAATAGTTGGTGGTTCAGGTGCTGCACCAAAACAATCTTGTACCAACCCGCAATAGCATACTACATAGAAACTGTCAAAACATAACATTTGAAATTTGGTGAATTTCTCATTTTTATAGTGTTAGGTGTATATTTTCTCAAAAGATGATATCATGATTTTTGCATAAATGATAATTAGTACCACTTTTTTTTCTTGGCCCCATCTATGTTTTCCTAGTTATTAGGTCAAATCTCACATAAGTCAATAAGATCATCCTATGAAGTCTCTATGTAATAAAATGTTGGAAAAAAAAAAATCAAACAGTAATACATATATAACAAATTATTTGTTGCATTTTTTTATATTCTTAATACTATAAGATTTCTAAAATAGAATATAAATTTATGATATATTAAGTATTATTTCTTATAAATAGGATAAAAATAATATTAAAAATATAAATTATTTTATATAAAAAAATGGTACTATTACATATTTAAACTAAATTCTAAGAGTTAAATTTAGATTTTATATTGGCATTAATGCTAGACACAACATATAAATATAATATTCGGAGCATTAAGAAAATAATGTTATGTTACCAACCATGATGATATTGTATTACAGAGTCCATGGAAGAAGTTGGCAAGAATGGAAGGCTGTCTGGGCCTTGAATCTGGAAAGCCCGAAGGTCCAGGCCCTCCATGAGGTGGTGGTGGTGGTGGTGGTTCTTGGGCTCTCATTGTTAGCTGTCATCAATCTTGCAAGCTCATCAACACTTACTTTCATCAAGATGCCAAGCTCAAGATGACCCAAACACGCCTATTTACTCCCTCATTTGAATAATCCTATAATTAATGATAGGCTAAGAGTTGAGACCTTCAGCTATATATATATGAGTGGTAGCTATTCTGAAAGTACGTGTTCTGAAATCACCTAAAAAAATTGGAATCTAACTGTCAAACTCACCCACAACTATAATTCAATCTACCCTTCTGTTTTTGGGTAGGTCACTGCTGAATCTTTTTATCATGAAATATAAATAGCAACAAATTGGCAATGTAATGAATGGAAAGTTTTTAGGGAGCGCATATGTGCAAGTGTTTTAGTATAGGAAAGTTTCCAAGAAAAATAATCACTTGATGTTGAATAGTAGCTCTACTGGGCCTATACACGTTCCAAACTAACTAAAATGGAGAGCAATGGTTTGAAAAAATGAACCCCACGTAAAGGAAAGGAGCAAAGATTATAAGGGAAATGCTATTGTTTAATTTAATTATATAAGCCATTTGGTAACGTTATTTTCATAAGGATATAGTGCCAATTCAACATCATAGATTATATTTTTAAGCCTTGTCTATGAAAAGGTTGAGCCCCCATCTCACAGAAAATACATCGAAGAAAAAACTTGGTAGAAAAATAATCTTTAAAATTAGAGAAAATCTCCCAAAAAAAAGTCCCTCATAGTTGATAAAATTATGTTTATATTAATGCAAGAAGCAAATATCAACTTCAATCACTTTAGAAAAGCAATCTATGATGACGGGTAACGGATTAATGGGTAAAGGATAATTAAATGCTAATTAATTTAATTTATTTTTAAAATGATTATTGATTTTATTATTTTTTAACATTTTTAAATTAGTTATTTTTTATTAAAAAATTTATTTATGAACACTAATTACAGTTTGACGTGGATAACTCGTACGTTACCATCTACTTTAATATTTCTATAATTATTGTGAGATATATGTTACTTTATTTTGATTAAAGATTGAATTTTTATTATCGTTCCATCTCTCAAAATCTGTGGGAAGGCAACATATATTAAATATTTTACTGATCTAAAAACATTAGTTTCAGTGACACTAAAATCTTACACCGACGAATTTTAAATCAGTGAGATTTTATTTTATAACAAATGTCATTATTTTATTTTGACAATATGTTTACAGTAGATACAGATAGTTGTAATTTATAATCTGAAATTAAATATATTAATTAATATGTTATTTAATATAAGAATGACATCATAAAATAAGATATTAAGTTTGAATTAGAAGATTTTTTTTTATTGAAATTTCAAAGCGTTTCCTACATTTGAAATGGTAACGTTAATCGTATTTTAAGGTTGAGATAAATGCATTATCCACATTATAACAAGGATAATTTATCTTCCCAAATAATTCTCTACTTAAGTCAAGAGAATTTATATGAATTGCTTAACTATTATTCTTTTAAATAGAGGCAATACCTATTTTAACGTTAATAAAGATGTGGAGACTAAAAATACATACTTTTTATTTGTCTCTAGTGTATAATGACTTTACCTAATGTTTCTATTCAGGCTGGTTTATGAATGAATTGTCAATTCATATGTAAGAGGAGGTTAGGGAAAGAACTTTTAGAAAAATGAGGTTAGGGAAAGAACTTTTAGAAAGAGAGATATGTAAAACAGAATTATTTCTATATTATTTTCTGAAAAACAATTACAATTACAATCTCTTTTTAATAGGGAGATTCTATACAGCCGTATTTTAATGACACTATATTGATTTTCTAATTACAATATAATAAATGCTAATATTATATAAGGTTTATCACAATATAATGCTAACTAGTTGTAACTGTAGTTATCCTTATCAGCCCCTCTCAAAGTTAATGTGGCTAGAGAGTGAACCTTGAGTTTGAATTTCAAATTAAGAAACAGTAGACTAGCTGGTGCCTTGGTCAATAAATTTGTAATCTAAAATTGAGAAGGAATGTGCTTGACTATAATTGTGCCTTGAGCAGCTTTTTCTCTAACAAACTAGAGATCCAGTTCAAAGTGTTTAAACTTTGAGTGTAAAACTGGGTTTGCAGTGAGTATTATTGCACTTAAGTTGTCACACCAGATCAATGGTGGTCTGGTGACTTTGATTTTGAGTTTAGTAAGTAAAGACTTTAGCAAACATATTTCTACTACAAGTGAGGCTATACTTCTAAATTTAGCTTCAATACTAGTTTGTGAAACCACATTCTGTTTCTTAGCTACCCAGAAGATGATGTTATTGCCAAGGAAAACACAATGGCCAGATGTGGATCTCATATCAGTAGAGTCTGAGGCCCAATTGGAATCACAATGCCTAGTTAAATGTAGATTTTCAGAGGGACTATACACCAAACCATGAGTGATGGTACCCTTTAGATATATAATCACTCTTTTAACAAACTTCCAGTGTGATTCAAGGGGTCTATGCATATACTGGCATAACTTGTTGATAGAGAAGGCTACATCAGGCCTAGTGATGGAGACATATTGTAAGGCCTCCACTACAGATCTATAGAGGGTTGCGTCCTTAAAAAGATTGGTGTCATCATCTTGAAATTTACATCTAGATGGAAGGGGTGTTTTGATTGGTTTTGCATTACTCATATGAAGCCTATCGAGGAGATCAGTTATATACTTTGTTTGACATAACATCAATTTGTTGTCTGTCAAGGGTTTTACCTCTAATCCAAGGAAGCAATGTAGAACCCCTAGGTCTTTGAGAGGGTAAAACAGATGTAGCCTGTGTATAAAATGTTGAATGAAGGTGGAAGAGTTGCCAGTGATGAGTATTTCATCAACATACACTAGAATATATGTAAGAGTTTTGGAAGTGGTATGTATGAATAAAGAGGGATCACACCTTGCCGAGTGGAAGCTGAGTTGAATGAAAGTGCTCATGAGCTTCGCAAACCATGTAGGTGGAGCTTGCTTTAAACCATAAATGGCTTTCTCAAGTCTATAGACTAGATTCTGATCGTTGCTCGTAAAACCAGCAGGTTGCTTCATATACACTACTTCTTGAAGAGGACCATTCAAGAAAGTGTTGTTGATGTTAATTTGTTTGATTTTTCAGCCATTGGTTACTGCAATACTTAAAACAGTCCTGATGGTTACTGGCTTTATTACAAGACTAAAAGTATCTGATACATACTTTTCTATCGTAGTACTTAAATGGTATAATTCACTACTAGCAAGTGTACTAGGTAGTTGTAGCAAGTTATAAAATGTGGAAATCAGATTGAGTTCCAAGTATCGTTCTCTAGGATCTTATTTTTAATCATCAATTCACAAGATAATAACCATTTGCACCAAACAATTCATTGAACAGATTTCAATATGCAAGAAAGTAAAATTCAAAATTAAAGAAATGAGAAATTGTTAAAAACAGAATGTTAACTTGTAATATTAGAATGAATTACGAATGGATGAAAGTTAGGAATTTATTTCATTAGAATATCAATATTAATTCAGATCTTCCTCTAAACATTCTAGCAATTGATTGATTGACAATCAGTTTCTCTTTACAATAACCAAAGATTGATTCCTCAACTCATTGGTCCTAATATTCAACCAAATCTCCCTAATTCCTTAGGCCAAATTTAGTTCAATATTGCATTACGAATTAGAACCAAAAGATTGCAAAGCTAAGACCACTTATCCCTAAGAAAATCAATAGTTTTGGTGATTAATTCAGATCCAAGCAACAAACCCAATTTCCATTAGTGAAGGTTACTTTTTGATTAATCAATTAAATTTCCATTCAAAGATCAATTAAACACAGAATTAATCCCTCAATCAAATCAAATACTCAAAGTTCAAAGTCAAAACGAAATTAATATATCAATTCTAGATCCATAAATCCCTAACAAAAAGAGTTAGAAATACATTACAATGAAATGGAGAGAAGCACGAAAAAAAAAAAAAAGATGAAAAGCAGAAAGCCATCTCCATAACTTTGCCTTCCCCCAGATTCCTCTAGCAAAGAAGAACAAAAGTCGCTCCTCCCTTCTCCCTCTTACTTCCCTTGGAAGTTAAAACGGTTACAAAATGAATACCAAAAACTAAAAATGACAAAAAAGCTTCTTTTCTAAGTTTCTAATTCCTATTTATAGAGTTCTCCTAATTCTTCGATTTAACCCTTGAAATTCTGATAGTTAGTTATCCCGAGGTGTTTTGGAATCTTCTAAAAGTGATACAGAAGCTTCAAACGTCCAAAAATTGGCAAAAAGAAGAAGTTATAAAGTTGCAGAATTTTGCGCCAAAACGCGCATTAGTTGGAGTGAAGGCGTGCGGTTGCGCGCCTTGGCTGCACGTGATCTGCATTCCTACGCTCTTAGCGCCAAGGCTTCAACTGATGTGCATTGTCACGCGCAAAGTTCTAGTTTAGGCTTTACTTGGATGCTTAGTTTTGCGTTGCCACGCCCTACACTATGAGTTACAACGCGCGCTTGCGCGCCAAGGCTTCAAGTAATGTGCGTTTCAACGCACAACACTTCAATGAATGCTTCTTCTATGTGTTTAGCTTTGCGTTGCTACGCCATCTGTTATGCGTTTTCACGCTCTATTGTGCGCCAAAGCGCCAGGTGATGTGCATTTTAACGCAATGGCAGTTATCCAGTTTCAGTTGCTGGAGTGTTAACGCGCATCACTCAGAGTAGTCACGCAGACCCAGTGCTATATTTTGTTCTTTCCATGTTCAAACGCCAATCACTGGGAGTTGTAACACCCAGCTCTTAGGATTTCTTCAAGCTTGATTCTTTGACTATTCTTCTTCAATTTCAGCTTTTACTCCTTCCTTTAAGCACTTTCAACAACTTTCCATCTTTTTGCATGAACTCCTACAAAAATCTAAACAATTTTTAATATTTCAACAAAATAACAATTTATACTAATTATTTTATTTTTGTGATCTGTTCAAGTTTACTTTAGAATTATTTTCCTAATTATTAACCAAAAACAATGCTAAAATCATGGTAAAATATGGATTTATCAGTATCATTGTAGTCGAGTCCTGCTTGTTGAGAAAATCCCTGAGCCACAAGTCTTGCTTTGCGTTTGGCAATGGTACCATCTGATTTATACTTCGATTTGTATATCCACTTTAAACCAATTGCTTTTCAGTGAGGTGGTAATGGAACTAGTTCCCAAGTTTGATTTCTAAGAAGAGCGTTATATTCTTTAGTCATGGCATTGAGCCATTCTTTATTCTTGATTGCTTCATGGACATTGGTAGGAGTAGTTTCTAGTAGAAGTGCCTTTGGTTTGTAAATCCCTACTTTAGCCCGAGTCACCATAGAATGAGTGTTGACAAGAGGTTGATTTTGTTGGTGATTTGTGTCAATAGGTGGAGAAGTGAGTTCATGAGATTGTAGTACTTGAAGTATGGATGGTTCAGGATTGTCGAAGGTGTTAGTAGGTTGTGTTGAGGTTTGAGGAGAGATAATATGTATTGGGAGCTAGATCGTGGGTGTAGTGAGAGGATAGGTGAAAGTAGTGAAAGTAGTTTGTGAGGTTTAAGAATTGGCGACAAAGAACTTAGGATTGATTTGTAGCGGGTAAGTGAATTCATCAAACACCATGTGTCTGACAGTGTATATTTGGTCAGAAGAAGTGATACGGTTATAACCTTTATGTTTGGAACTATAACCCAGGAAGACACAATGTTGTGATCGAAGATCCATCTTGTGCCGATTGTAAGGCCTTAGGTAGGGAAAACATAAGCTGCCAAAAGGCTTGAACCTAGAGTATTTTGGTGCTTTGGAAAATAGAGTTTCATACGGAGATATACTATTGAGAACTGAAGTTAGTAGACGGTTGATGATGAATGTGGCAGTGCCAAAAGCATCAGCCCAATACTCTGCAGGTAATGAAGAGGCTACAAGTAAGTCAATCCTATTTTTGTCACATGTCTGTGCTTCTTTTCATCAGCTCCATTTTGTTCATGTGTGTAGGCACAACTGAACCTGTAGAGTATGCCATTTGCAGTGAGATATTTTGTCATTGCAATGTATTCTTTTCCAACATCAGACTGAAGAATCTTTAGTTTACTATCAAATTGTAACTCAACCATAGATTTAAATTGGAAAAGGTTGTCATTGCCTCAGACCTATTATGTAAAAAGAAAATTCATATAAATTTATTATGCGCATCTAAAAATAATATATAGTATCTATAACCCTGTCTAGAAGGTTTTGGAGAAGGACCCCAGATATCAGTGTATACTAGTTCAAGAAGCTTAGTGTAAATAGTATCAGAATCATAGAAAGACAATTTGTGCGATTTTCCTAAAAAACTTGCAGAACAAACAAATATTTTATTAATATTGTGAACAGGAATATTACAAAGTCTCATCACATGTGATACAACTTTGTGTGAAGGGTGACCTAATCTAGCATGCCATAGGTCAACATTATTTAAGGAAACAATACTATGAAAAATAGAAAATTTTGAACTAGAACTAGTTAGTCCTTATCCTCTAGAGCATATAATCCTTATCTTGCTGGTCCTTTAAGAAGAACTTTCCTTGTGTTCTGACATTTAATACAGAAATCATTAGCACCAATTCAAAAATAACATTGTTATCACGAACAAATTGATTTACACTGATAAGATTCTTTGTGATATTAGGAACATGCAGTGAATTATTCAAATTGAATTTAAAAGTTGAGTGTGTTTAGGGAGAAAGAGGTGTGGCCAGCATGAAAAATGCTTAGACTGTTACCGTTGCCCATGTGAACCCTGTTCCTAACCATTGTAATCAGATTTGATCATCAGGTTATTAAGATCATGGGTAAAATGGTTCGTTGCTCTTGTATCTGGGTACCAAATTTCATCAATATTGGCGTGAGTGATGATGCAGTTTCATGTTGTGTTTAAAAGATTTGTCGCAAATCCTCATCAAAATTTAAACAAATTAATGTAGTACTAGGGTTACCCTAGATTGTCTCCCATGAACATTGACTATTAATCTTCATTAAATATGTTGAAGGCATTAATTAGACAAGCAATTAAATAGAGGGGGGTGTTGTAGTTTCAAATCAATATAAGGAGCAGCAATCAAACAAGTTTAATTAATTCAAACAATAGAAAACAGCAATCCTTAGTTCATCCACATAGATTCTATCCTCATTCTACTCAAGATTTAACACTCATCCTCTCTCTCATTAATTATGTTAATTTAACAAGCGAAAATTAACCTTATGGTCCCAACGAAATTACGCAATTTGTTAGGCTCTAATCCCTCATCCCAAGATTACGCAACCTTAGAATTAAACCTAGGATTAAGCAATCCTTAGTTTAGAATCTCCTTAAAATGAATTAGGGTTAATTAAGCAATGTCCCCATTATTCACCATTAATTCAATTCAAGAGGCAAGGAAGAAGTAATTCATGAAAAGAAAGGAGTTATATTATCATTAAAATCAAGGAACTCAAGAATCCATGTGAACTCACTAAGGATTATACAAAATTTAGCCCTCCATGGAAATGAGGGTCAAAAACACAGTTTGGAAATGCAGAAAACTCATTGGCATTAATGTAAAAGTAAGAGAAATGAGAAACCAAACTTTAAGTTGGACCCTTGGCTGTCACCCAAGGTTGCCCTAAGCTTTGGAAAATGTCCTAATTTAGTAAAGAAGAGAAAATGTACGAAAAGTGTAAGAGCTCTCTGTCCTAATTTGGCAAAATTCTATTTATACTAAGGTTGATGCCCTCCAAAGTGATTATTTTAATTCTTTCATAGTAGACACGCGCAGCATCAGTTGATTTTTGCTTTTCTGTAGTGTCCACTATCAACTTTGATAGTAGCTACGCACAACACCTTTAATTCTGCACACTCTAGAGTGACTACTATGAACTTTCATAGTAGCCACATGTAGGCTTAGTGGATTCTGGGCTGCTGTAATCGTCACTTTTAGCTTTGAAAGTGATCACTTTGGTCCCTTTGCTGAAAGTAGCTTGTTGTAGTGGTCATTGTCAATCTTGAAAGTAATTACTTTCACCTCAAATTCCTCAAAATCTAATAATTCTTCAAAATAAGCTTGGGGATTCCTGCCACATTATTTAAATTATCAAAACATGTAAAATAAACTATCTAAATCAATATAAATTAACCAAAAACTAAGAAACCTATATTATTTAGCCTAATTATAATATTCATCTTATTTATACTATCTAAGTCTATTCTTTTCTATAAAAAATAATAAATGATGTATAAAAATGTAATAATATGTGGATTCATCAGTGAGCAGTAGAGGATGCAACCATGGCTTGAGGTTGCTGATTGTTGGAATATGAAGGATTGTTTGTAAGTGAAGGTTCTTCGAGCTGCTTATCAAAACGTCACTAGCAATGAAACGCAATGTGGCTAAGTCTTCCATAGAGCTGGTACTGAACTCTCCCTCCTTTTCCTTGACTAGAATTATTATTATTTGTTTTTCCCCCGCAATTTCTGCTGTGATTAGAAGTTCTGCCTTGGCCACGACCTCAATTTGGAGTGGTATAACCTTTCTTGTAAGTTTGTTTTTCTGCCACATTAGCTTGAAGCAGAGTGGTGTCATGTTATTTCCTCTTCTCCAAATGCTCTTCTTGATGTATCAAGAAAGCTTCTATTTCTGACACAGAATAAGGTTTAGCCCTTGTAATACGGGAGGTAATAAATCCATCGTACTCCTCTAATAATCTGTAAAAAATCATATCAATATGTTCCTCTGGGGTCAACGGTGATCCAATTGCAAATAAGGTTTCAACAAATTGTTTAATTTGAACCAGAAATTCAGTCAAAAAACCCTATTTTTGTATTGAACAAAGCTGAGTTTTTAGTTATTTTACCCGTGCGTGCTTCTGCGAGGAGAAATATACCTTTAAAGTCTGCCAAATTTCATACGACCAAATGTAACCTACCGCGCGAACTTTGAATTGAGACTCCATCAACTCGAGTAGCCAAGATTTGACAAGAGAGTCTTGTTGTTCATAATTCTCAAATTCAAAGTTGACAATGTTTTTTGCCTTATCTTATTTAGAGAGATACTGCACTGTAATATATTCTTGTCTAAGAATATGCTTTTTCAACCGAAAACCTTTAATGGTAGATTCTGCGTGATTCATCCATGTAAGGTAATTGTCATCATTGAGTTTGCACGAAATGGCATAAGAAAAAGTTTACAGAATGAAAGTGGATGCAGAAGCCATTGATGCAGATCTGTCAAGCTAATACAATATAAGAGGAGGTTATGGAAAGAACTTTCAGAAAGAGAAATATGTGAAACAGAATTATCTTTATATTATTTTCTGGAAAACAATCACAAGTACAATTCCTTTTTAATAAGAAAATTGTGTACAATCGTATCCTAATGACGATATATTAATTTTTTAATTACAATATAATAAATACTAATATTACACAAGATTTATCATAACAGAATGCTAACTAGCCATAATTGTAGTTATCCTTATGATAATTAAAAATACATCAAGTAGAATGTAGTCCCTAATGTACAACAATTATTTGTTGTATCATCCCCGAAAGAGGAATTGCATCGTGTAATAGTCATTGATCACTAAGCAATAGAATATTGTTAAGGTATCTTTGTTTACTTGTTATAATTTTGGATGAATGTGAAAAATATAGTTGAAATTTTGTTGCATTAATGAATTTATATCGACAATTACCGGTCTCTGTAAATTACCATTACAATGTTGATTAATATAATTGATCCAATTATGTACCTAGAATATATTTTCACACATTGCACACACATGTCTGATGATTATAGAGATAGGAAAATCTTATGAGTCACTATATGTATAGATATAATATCTTTTAGTGTATATATTTAAGTTATAATATTTATGAATTGTGAATTATTCATTTAAAGCAATTAAGAAAGATTTAACATTTTATAGATATGTTTTTGAAACAATAAAAAAATTGAGATTTGCATAAAAATTATTGTCATCTTATTACAACAAATTATTATATTTTATCTTTTATAACTTATTATTATTTATATCTGTGAACTGATTATATAAAAGTCGTACAACTTAAATATTTGAACTCCCTGTCTTAAATATACTTAATTTAAATTAATTTTTAGATAATTGTTACTCTAGTATTTTGTTTTTAAATTGCAGAATGGCACCCATCAATATCAATGTATCGAAAGTGTGAAGATGAATTCCAAATTGTATTTTATAGTTCATCTATTTATAATTGTGTTGTAACTTATTATCATTTATAATTGTAAATTAATTATATGAAAGTCGTACAATGCAAATATTTAAACTCATTATCTTAGATATGCTTAAATGAAATTGATTTTTAAATAGTTGTTGCTTCAATATTCTGTTTTTAGATTGTAAAATGATACCAATTAATGTATCATAAGTTCTAAATTATATTTTATCGTTCATCTATTATGTAACAATAAAAATATTGTAATAATATTTTTCTTAATTTATTAATCTATAATAACAATATAATTTATAGGTAGTCGATATAGTTTAACCTTAATCTTGTAATGGATGTTCACCAACTAGATTTGGTGGCAAAATTAAACCACCAAAATCTCTTAAACTTGTCCTTTCAATTAACTAAAAAATTTTCGCATTGTTTATTTCTTGCATATATGACAAATTATAATTGAGACTATCATTTTTAACATAGCAACTTTCAACAACATAAACAAGTAAACGTAAGATACGATAGAAAACCTAAAATAAATTTAGTTACTTGTAACTCTTGCACTTGTGTGCTTTTTCAATTAATAATTAATAATATTTGTTTCAACCATTATCATAAAATTATCAACTAATTTAATATTAATATAATTCAAATATTATCATATTGCTTAATTAATATCTTCGTTATCACATATTTAAAAACTATTATATATATATATATATATATATATATTTAATGACATATTGTAAATATACTAATTATATAAAAATAATTTAATTTTTGAAGGTTTTAATTTTAAACAAGTCTTTTATTTAAATTTATTTATACTAATATTACATTTATTAATTTTAAAATTTTGTTAACTTCAGTCGATAAAATTGATAAAATTGATAATAAATAATTAATAATAATAAAATTTCATTAAAAAGATAAGTATTTATTATATTTTTATAACTTTAATACAATAACATATATTTTTTCATAAATTTTTTTTTATTTATGGAGCTTTGACCGAGTTTAATAAAATCTTTATTTTTATTACTTTCAAACATTAGAATATTTTTTTGTATATTCTATCCTTTGAATAAATAAGAACAATTTGACTATTTTAAAAAAAAAATAATTTATACCATTAAATTTAATGACAACTATTACATCAACAAAAAATTATATTTTAATTAGTGTATGACATAATTAGAAGGATGTCACACGCTTTAAGTTTTTTTTATTGAAACTCATTCGGTAATGAAATTTTATAAAAAATAATGTATTTTGAATTTTCTTTACATATCAAGAATGAAAAATGGGTGACACTCTAAAATTTATCCATTCTAGTAGTTTATTTAAAAAAAATTATTATTTTGAGTAAAAAAAGCCGCATTTTAATCTTGAAAGAAGAAGAAGAAGAAGAATTGGTTGGGACACTAATAAAAAACAATTTAGCAAGAGTTTGAGATGAAACAAGAGTGAGAGACATGGGGCCAAAGTAGACACTTAAAATTTAGCATTCTGATTGGTCCCTCGCACCAATCAATTATTAATGTCACAACATCTAATCCATAGTGTACATATATGGTATCTTAATATAATATATACGAAAATATAAAATTTTATAAAAAATCAGAAATATTAAAATTTAATTAAAATTTGAAAATCGTTAAATTAACTTATTTTATTAAAAACCCGTTCCATTGCTATTTTTTTGGTCTCATATTTATACAATTTCTTTTTAAATTTAATTTTATATCACTCATGTCAGGTAAGAAGAGAGAGAGAGAGGTGTATTACATCCCCCGAGATAGATCAATCATCCACATTCAAGCATATCAATGCCGTTGATGGGATTATCAACCATTGTCCATTTCACTCCCATGCACCATACACTAAGGCTATCACTTTTTTCCCATTGCTCAGCTTTCTCCAACTCCAACACTTCCTTACTCTCATCCTCCACGCACCCCACTTCCGGAATCACCCTGAAGTCTGCACCTTTCTCTTCCTCTCTGCCTTTCATGGCTACCCACTTTCAGGTCTCAGAAGGTGCTCCCATTGAAGAATTTGGGCCTTCCCCTCCTCTTCCAATTCGAGAACACGACCTCTTAATCGTTGGTCCTGGAATTCTTGGCCGTTTGGTCGCTCACAAATGGAGGGAGGTAATATTTTATATAAATCGTTTTTCTAATGCATTCTTCTTAACTTGCCAACATTACATGTAATAGGAATCAATATACAATAAAATTTTATTTTAAATTATAAATATAATATAATTCAATACATTAATATTATTGATTATTTATTAATTTCTTATCTAGAACAATATTGCAGAAGATAGAGGTTAGAAAAATAGTGTGTTTGTATATCATTCTTGACAGAGTATTTGGAATTGAAATAGTGTTGTTAGATGCGAAGTCTTGCACGGGTTTCTTGGCAATTGTTATCACTTATCAATATATATGTATGTTTGTTGTATTGAAGTAGGAATATCCAGGTTGTCAAGTTTTTGGACAAACAGTAACCACGAATCATCATGAGGAGCTGGTTAAAATTGGTATTAATCCGTCTTTGAAGTGGACCAAAGGCACGCTCAAATTTCCCAATGTCATTTTCTGTGCCCCGCCTTCCCAATCTTCAGACTACCTTGGTGATCTTAGGTGAGCAATCTTAGGGTTATTGATCCCATGATTGGTAGGAATTGTAGTGGGTAACATGCTTATGTTATCAATGTCTCTCAAGCCATATGTTGTCCACAACTTGTTACTTATTTTCACTCTGCATTTGAGTTTGCAAATTCTACCATTCTGCTTTTCCCCCTATCTCCTGTGTGAGAGTAAAATTATTCCTTGGAAAAAGGAAAAGTGAATCAGTTTATGAGTTGCATTTTTCTTCTGAACATATGTGTTGTGAACTGTCAACGAATCAGGTTGGCTGCATCATGCTGGAATGGTGAAGGTTCTTTCCTGTTTACATCAAGCTCTGCTCCTTATGACTGTAACGACAATGGGTTGTGTGATGAGGTAATTCTTTGAACACTCCCTGTTTATTTATCGTTTTTGATTATCTTAATCCTTAAGACTCAATTTAAGTATTTAAAAATAATAATTCCTCCGGTTCAAAATAATAGTCACTTTAGTAACTTTTATTTTTTTTCAAATTGTTTGTTACTTTAAAGTTTCAATGATACATTAGTTTTATTTTCTTAACAACCACCTACTCTTTTCTTCTACAGGTTTATTTATTACTATAGTCATTTCCAAAATATTCTACTACCTCAAATGGACCTTTGCTTCAATGCTGTACATGGAGTATATCACATTGTGCTTTGCATATAATATATTCGTACATTTCAAGATGTCAGAAAAGCTATGACAAGATTTGATTTTTCTGAACCTTAGAATTGAGATATATACACTAAAACTATTAGACATTTTAAATTTTGAGTTAGTGGAAAACAATATACGAGGAGTCAATGGGAGTTAGCATTCAGAAAGAACTCAACGTGAGAAATTAAAATAAAAGAACAATTAAAATGAGACACAAAGGGTATAATAAGAAATTCAATAATACTTTTTATAAAAACAAGACTATTAGATGTGTTGTTTAGTTCTTGTGCCATAACCTTAAATAATTATTATTTTAAACTGGAAGTAATAATTTTTATTCTGAAGGTAATGAAAATTACTTTAACCCGTAGGGCTGAGATTAACATTTATCTTTGTTTATTTCGGGTGGGAGTGTGGGTGAATTTGATACATCAAGACATGGCTTTTCTTAATCCAAATATAAGTTTAAACTTTTTTTTTGCTTAATTTGTGCTATGAGAATCGCTTATTTTCCAATCTTCGTGTAGAATTATGTTTCCCATACTTTGTGACATGGGTGTGTCAATTTTTATCTTGGTTATGGGATTAGATTTATTTCTCTGCAGGATAGTCCAGTGGTGCCAATTGGGAGGAGCCCCAGGACTGATGTCCTTCTAAAAGCTGAAAAAGTGGTGCTAGAGTTTGGTGGTTCTGTTTTAAGACTCTCTGGACTTTATATATCCTTTTCATAATTCAGTTTACTAGGATTTCAATGATGCATTTATTTGAATGATTTTTTCAGTATTTCTTTTATTATGTTAATTTTATCATTTATGTCTGATGTCAAATCTTAACAATTTAAACAAAGTAGATAAAGGTGCACATGTTTATTGGTTAGAAAAGGGGATTGTTGAATCTCGTCCTGATCACATCCTGAATCTTATACATTATGAGGTTAGAGTTTCGTTCCCTCTTTTTCTTCTTTTTTATAAGTACATGTTATCAACATGGCAATTGGCATCTTTCAACCTGGCTTGTTATATATATTGAGGTATAGAAGTTCATTTAATCAGGGTTTATCAGCAAAAGCCAAAAGATGCTTCATTCATGTGGTTTCTCTATTCACATCATACTTGCATATTTTGATTCATTTTTGGTATTTCACTACGAGACCAATTCTAGTCCCTTAAGGAACTTCTGGTCATAGCTTCTTTAAAACATTGCATTTTTCTAACTTTTGGTCATTTAATTAGTATTTGTAAACATGAAAAGTTGAATGTTTTGTTTAACATCCCGCTTTAAAACCAGGATGCAGCTTCCCTCTCGGTTGCAATTTTGAATAAACAATTTCGTGGACGAATTTTCTTGGGTTGTGATAATCATCCTTTGTCCAGGTTGCATGCTTTTCCTTGACTCTGCAACTGTTATAATGGGGGCAGTAATTGATTCTTTCTTTCTGAGACAGTGATGCCAATATATTTTAACTTCTCTCTCTAACCCTTTCTAAATGTTGACAGGCAAGAAGTGATGGATTTAGTCAACAAAAGTGGGAAATTTAGTAAAAAATTTGAGAAATTTACAGGTAAATTAATAAATATTCTTTTGATTTGTAAATGTATATTTGAGATTGAAAACCAAAAGCAAAAACGAAACATAATCAGTTAATCAACCTTTCTTCTGTTAACATTTTTTTTTGGGTGCTATCACTGTGTGTTTGAAAATACGTGGAAAATTATTGGTATAAACGTAAATCCTTGATCAATCCAAACATGCACTATGTCACTCCTTATTGTGGAAGCACTATAATTGAGCCTTTGTATCTTTTCTTTGCAGGAACTGATGATCCTTTAGGTAAGAGATTAAACAACTCTAGAACACGCCAAGAAGTAGGGTGGGAACCCAAGTACTCTAGCTTTGCTCATTTCCTTGAGACCATATGATTCCCTCAGTATTTTCTCCATGATGACATTGTATAGAAAATATTATTATTCATCATGTTGTTAAATGGAAGCAGAAATAATTATTTTATCCATGTATGTATGCTTGACGAGATTTGTAAGCTTTGCTGTGTTGGGGTAAAAAGTAAATGAGATGCATTGACGGATACGTTTTCGTGTTTTGCTTGTTATTATATATTATCAATGTTTTAGAAGTACACAATCCTCTAGCTGAAGCTACATGACAATTATAATTTTCTTTGAAGGCAAAAACTAAACAGCAATAATTAATAGCATCATTCACATAGACTTGTCTATCATTTTTACTCAGCATAATTATGAAATATCATCGCAACTTTCAAATGCCATCGATGGATATCATTTCTCTTTGCATTCTAGAAATTATTGTATGATTAGGAGTGTCTATGACTTTGACCAACAAAAAAAATAGAGGTAGTCATATTTTCAAATTTAGAAAAAAAAAGGTTAATAAAATTTTGGTTACGTCACTGTAAATGAATAATAATTTCAAATTATATAAATGACTTTTTGTGAGACCGAACAAATCTATTTAAGCAAAACACTTACTCTTAAACAAGAGGAGTTTTAGGATTAATTTTTTTATCATGTGATTTTTTATATTTCAAATATTTTTTTTATTATAATTTATTTCTTTCAAATACCATTATTTAAACAAGGTGGATTTTAAGAGCTGTGAATAGAAAAATAAGTATTACGAGTGCTTTGTTACCTTAAATGGGTCTAAGTGACTGTATTTAAATTAGTTAGGGTCCAATGTGTTATGTAATTGGGTACCAATTATTTAAGATGGAAAAGTCTTATTACTTAAATTTAGGTAATTTAAATTTAAATTTTGACATATCATATTAAATTAATTACTAGGCAAAGAGATGACATGTCTTAATTTAAATAATTTATTTTAATATTTTTTCAATTTAAAAGATTTGTTTCTTTAATTATTTCTATTTATTAAAATTGAATTTTTATTATTTCTTTGTGAAAAATAGAATCCTTCTTATTCTTCAGTTTCTTTAACCTCGACTCATATATAGTAACTTTTATTAAAAAAAAAGTATTTATTCCATCAAAATACAAAATATAATAAACATTTTTTTAATAATTTTTTTGGTAGGCAAGCTCATGAGGCCCACTCCTATTAAGCTGCTATTTTTGACCAATTTTTAAATATAAACCAAGCTGGGTTAACCTATTTTTTGGCTAATCATAAACAAATTGGTTTATTTTACACCTCCAACCATAATCTTGCTTAATGTCTATATTTAGTTTCAAAAGATGCATGAACTTTTCTTATATTCCTTAGTTAAAATATTATCTATATGCTAGCAAATCCTACTAACTATTAATCCATTTTTTTAAAACATACACTTTTTTTGATAAAATACATAAATCGTATATAACATATAAAACTTTTATGAAATAAAAAAAAACATCATATGTAGAAAAGATTAAGACACTATTGAAAAAGATAGATGTTGTGATCCAATAAAAAAAGACAAACAAAGACAACAAAAAAATTACATAAATTTATTAAAATAATTTTTTTAATTAATAATATTTTTAAAATATAACTTTTAACTGAGTTTAACATTATCGTGTAATTTATGTAACTAACCTAAATTAATGACATAAAACGTGATTGTCTCATTGAAAAAACTTGATTGATTTTGTAAAAAAAAATAATGATAAGTTACCCTTAGATAAATAGACTTACTCTATTTATATTAAAAATTAAAAATTTATATTAAATTGATAGTTTCTGTATAAAATTACACTAAATAGGCAGAAAAGGCGATATTTCACAAAGTTGCACTCCAATCATATGGAACAGTGGATGCAACCTGGAACCCCACGTCATCTTATCGCCACCATCCATTTGGATTCCCCTCTCTAACAGGTTCCACTTCATTACCAACTTAACGAGAAACCAGCATGTCTTTCCCCTGTCCCTCATTCTCCACCTCACAATTCCCTTCTTTCTATTTTACACTCTTTTTCTGCTTCTCAATCTAACTGTGATCTCCTCACAATCTAAAACACCATCTTCTGCATAATTTCTCAAGAAGCACTGCCAAAATGTCACTTTGTTATTCTTCCAATTTCATCTCACTCAACCAGCAGAAGCTTTCCTTAAGTTTCTCTTCACACTCTTCTCATTTCATCAACCTATTCCGGGTAAGCTCAATTCCTTATGCTCTACCTTCTTGGCCTGCAAAATCTTATGAATCCATGAAATTTAGCACAGAAAGATTGAAACTTTTTGCTTCCCTGACACCATCTCAAGCTGTTGAGAGCACCTCATCTACATTTAGAAAGAGGGACCCAAAAGATGTTAACGTTTTGGTGGTGGGTTCAACTGGGTATATTGGAAAGTTTGTGGTGAAAGAGTTGGTTAAAAGAGGGTTTAACATCACAGCCATTGCCAGAGAGAGGAGTGGAATTAAGGGTAGCAATGACAAGGATCAAACCTTGGCTCAGTTAAGAGGGGCCAATGTGTGCTTCTCAGATGTGACCAATTTGGATGCTTTGGAAGAATCTTTGAATAGTTTTGGGGCTTCGTTTGATGTTGTGGTGTCATGCCTTGCCAGTAGAAATGGAGGGGTGAAGGACTCATGGAAGATTGATTATGAGGCAACAAAGAATAGCCTTGTTGCTGGTAGGAAACTTGGAGCTTCTCATTTTGTGTTGCTTTCAGCAATATGTGTGCAAAAGCCTCTTCTTGAATTTCAGCGTGCCAAGTTGAAATTTGAGGCTGAGCTAATCAAGGAGGCTGAGGATGATGGCTTCACTTATAGCATTGTGAGGCCAACAGCATTTTTTAAGAGCTTGGGTGGTCAGGTTGAGTTGGTGAAAGATGGGAAGCCTTATGTGATGTTTGGAGATGGAAAGTTGTGTGCTTGTAAGCCCATAAGTGAGCAAGATTTGGCTTCTTTCATTGTGGATTGTGTGCTGAGTGAGGATAAAATTAACAAGATCTTACCAATTGGAGGGCCAGGGAAGTCATTGACACCGTTGGAACAAGGGGAAATGCTGTTTAAACTTTTGGGGAAAGAGCCTAAGTTCTTGAAAGTTCCAATAGGGATTATGGATTTTGTCATCGGGGTTCTTGACTTTATGGTTAAGATATTTCCTTCACTGGAAGATGCTGCTGAGTTTGGAAAAATTGGAAGGTATTATGCGGCCGAAAGTATGTTGCTTTTGGATCCTGAGACTGGAGAGTATAGTGCTGAGAAGACACCTAGCTATGGGAATGATACATTAGAAGAGTTTTTTGCCAGGGTTCTTAGGGAAGGGATGGCTGGTCAGGAGCTAGGTGAGCAAACGATATTTTAAGATGGTTGTGTTTAAATATGTATGAATCCAATAGGTCAAATAGAGCAACCAGTTTTGTTTCTGGAAATGCATGTGTTCAACAGAGTCACTGTAACATTTACACTAAGTAAAGACATTGTTGAAAGAAATTCAAGTCTCTGGAAATAAATTATTGAGGATTCATTTTTCAATTTCGTACCACTGTCATTCCCCTGTTAAATTGCTTATTGGCAGCTGGCAGCTGAAAAAGAAATGGAAGAATGTATAAGAGTGTATTGTTGATATTTTCTTGAATATACTATTCCATAAATTTTCACAGGCCTAGTTTCCATTGTAAACTGGTTACTCAAAATGAGAACATATTCAGATTATTCCGAATAAAACATCTCGTAGAGCTAAATGTGCCAACTTGACCTACTAAGTTCATAAACCGTAAGGAAGGCATTCTTAACCTTTTTGACACCCAGACAAAATAGGAGATTAGGACCCTTTAAAAAAATTATAAAATATAATAAATAAAATAAAAGTATATATTAATAATTTTATTAAAATAATACGTTTTTTTTAAGTGGCTATAATTTTTTCTAATAAAATTATAAAAAAATATTTTTCATTCAAACAACTTCTATGTTATAATTAACTACAAAAATACAAAAAATCATAAAAAAATAAGTTCTAAAAGCTTTCTTAGATGTAAAATCATTAATGATAACATTAACATTAATATTTTTAAAAAATTCTTTATTGATTGATAAAATTGTGAGACCATTCAACGGTTCTTGTGACATTGATGACTTTAGGTAAGTTTTGATTAACTTTAATTCTAAAAAACTTCTTTCAGTTGATGATATAATCACTGGGACCGTAAAATAAATTCTATAAGTGATTAAAACATTTAAATAATAATCTGCAGATTTGACAAACTCAATAACTGTTTAATTTTTTAGGAAAAATTAAAATTCTCCATGAGCTTTAATGTTAAGAATAGTAAAATTTTAGAATTAAATGAAGTTTTGAGTTTACAGAAATCAATGAGTCGAACGTTTATAGCAAGTGAGATGCGAGGAATTAAAAGGTCTTTTTTATTTTTTCTAACTGCAAATTATAAGAGCTGAAATTTTTTTTCAAGTAAAAGTATAATACAATTTTTACTTTGGGCTCTCTTTTAAGCTTGGGCCTTAGGCTCGCACCTCTAAACTATCCTCAAAACTGGACATGAAACATTCCCTATCTTCTTCAATATCAATCTTTGTTTAAGTAGTGTTAGCCGATTCTCAAAACTGGACATGAAACATTCCCTATCTTCTTCAATATCAATCTTTGTTTAAGTAGTGTTAGCCGATTTAGGAGTGCTCTTCCTGGGCAAATGCTCTCGAACCATACTTCCCAAAGGAAGGTAGGGGTGGTAGAATTTGCACAAAATATAACGTATTAATCATATAACTTATCCTGATTACATAATTAAAAGTGTTTTTTTTTTAATTTTTGATAGAACCGTGTAATTACAGAATAATTTTCAACATGAGTAGAATGCAAATAGAACTGGGTTCCATGGAGGACATCGTTTACACATGAGAAATACCAGGAACACATTACCTGACGCATATTTTTCAATATACTCTTTATTATTAGATGAAATTCCCATGTTAAGCTCACTTTAGTAAGCTTACATCATTTAGATCCACATGGATTTCATCCAACCATAAAGAATGTGTATCAAATTCTGTGTTGCTAACATTTCTCATTATATATAGTCAACACCTCTAAAGAAACACTCATAAAAACAGAAGTTATTCATGTCAATCTATGAATATTAACTTGACACACTGAATGATTTTGTGAACGATGCGACTCTAGTTGAGTTCATGTGTGTGCTGAATGATCCATATTGCTTCCATTTATTTGGGGACCCAATTGTGAATGGTGAAAGCTGAAAGCCAGACGAGCAAGACAGTTACAATGCTTCCAAACAAAGCCACTGCTATGGAGCCAGCAAGGTGCCTGCAGAACTTGTCATAGACATTGCAAACTTTGATCCAACCCACATGGTCGTTGCCCTTTAATCCAAGATATGCTATACTCCCAGCTGCTCCTGTTGCTGAGGCTGTTATCCCCAATATCAGCTGCATAAAGTCATGGTAAATAATATATCATAAGTTGCTTTGATATATAAAGCACGAAAGTTGAGAAGAGAAGATGAATAACAAGGTGGAAGGAAAGGATAATTGATGAAGGATCTTGCTAACGAGCACCCTTGGTTAAAGAATCGATAAACTTTTTATTTAAAATCACATTAGGATGCATTGAAAATCAGGTAAGTGCACTATTACATTTTTCAATAGAACAATTATATATTTCTTGATCAGTGTCCTAAGGATACTTGTTAGCATTTTCTATTGATTAATTACCGCATCCCAGAAAAGAAAGTGGAGGAGGAACTTCAATTTGAATTCTGGCTTCTGGATGACAGAGATTGATGCAAGGGCTGAAATGAGAGCATAAAGGCCAGAAACACTGAATGCAGCCACAAAATATCTGCATGCATATCATATTATATGTGAAGTTAAAATTCTTAACAAGTGATATTAAGAGGATCGATTTGACAAGGAAAAAGGAACCAACGAGAATGAGGCTTTAAAACAACAGCGTTGTTATCTTAAGACTGATTTTTTTTGGTAATGTAAGATGGAAACAAAAACGAAAAAACAGAAAAATAAAATTACATCCTTAGGAACAAGGTTCCTGCCTCATGTGGTTGAAGAAGTAAAAATAACTCAGCAGGAATAGTTTCCACCATCTTCATGGCACTACCACAACAAGGTCCTAACTTAGACTGATTTTAAGCATATAGAAGTGTTTAATTTTTATTGAAAAAAGTATCATTATATTATAAATATATAAGTGCAATAAATATTTCTTTTAACAAAAACTTATTACTAATAAATCTTAAAGTTAACTCTGAACATTTATGTTATATTTTTCTTATAGTAAATGTACGTGAACAAAAAAAATACTTGAGGAGCATGACATCAGGAATATAGAACAGAGGGAAACAAAGTATACACCAAGAAAGAAAAAAGAATTTTGGCCTATGCAGTAGCACAGCCGTCATGGATTTTACCTTTACTTGCAAAGCAATTAATGGAATCATGCTGGTAAAATATAACCAAAGAAAGGCCAGCACATTACATCCTTGATTTTTTAGAGTAGTCAAGCTAAGAGGTAAATTTCAAAGGGATTTTCACATGGCAGGAAGAAGAAGAAATACTATGTTCAATACTTCTACATCCCTAATTAGATCTCAGAAAACATAATCACTAAAGGAAAAAAAAAAAAGAATTGAAAGCAGTTAAAGGAAAATTTTTATCAGCAGGCTTCATAATCATAGTGATTTTCCACATTTTCACCCTTGATTCTTCTTTGTATCAAGATATCTTAATTCATACTGCAACTGAACAAATATAGAGAAGCAAAAGGCAAAAATTGAGAGTTAGCAGTTTTGCCAGAAAATAGAAAGAAGAGAATTGCAGTAAACGTAGTAAATCTGCAAATAATTTGAATGATTCTATCTTACACAAAAGCTGGTGAGTATTTGAACTTTACTGGATGTGGCTCAAGCGTATTTTGGAAAAGCACTACCTCTGTTTGATCACTAGAGACAATCACTGCAATCACCACCACTGATGCCGCCAACAACACAAATCTGAGGATCACATCAAATTTAAAGTAATCCACGGCGGCCGGAGGTGGTGGAGTTGAAGATGATTTGTACTCAGTATCTGTAGAAGCCATGAATGAAGTCTTTTGCAAGGTAGCTAGTGAATTTGATTTGAACGGATGGTTCTAGTACTAGACTTAGTGGGACTAGCAAGTTGCAAGATACAGATAGTTAAGCAGTAATCTATTTGCTTATTCTATACTAATAGTTGGATTTGAACTTTGTGGGGGGCTAATTGAACCAAAAAAGATGTAAAAACAAATTAATTGGAGTTCCCTGCCGGTTAAGTTATCTGGTTTCAACAGTTTCATGTGTCATATTGCTAATGACCTATATTGTACCTTAGAATTTTGGATATGCCTTGGCTCAAGGTTCTCACTGAAGACATTTTTTGTCAGCTCAATTACTTAGCCGTTATTGGATTCTGATTATTGTATTTAGTTATTGCATGGTTATTACAAGTTGTGTAACAAGATGTCACTGTGTTACAAGACCAGGAGGAGAGACATGTATATAATTGTTACTAGTGTTAAATCCGTCACTAAGCTATGGTCCTATAATAGTCTCTTGTAATTATTTTCTTGCTCAATTTGTTGTTGACTTGAGGTTGGCCACTAATAGATTAAATGGTACTATATTTTTTAATATAATATAACGGCTAATAAAATAATAAATTATAATCTGTAAATAAAAAATTTAGATCAAATATAAGAGTTTTTAGATTTACACTTGTATAAAAAAATCCTCTTTAGTATATATATATATAACAATCATTACATGGTTTTTGTCCTCTTTATCATTTGTACAATATTGATAAGATATATAATTGAATAAATAGATATTTAAGAATGATATGGTAGAGGAGAAAATGAAGAGATAAAAAGAAGCTAATATTATAAATGCGTGTCTAGACACAATGAGTTTCATATGTCTTATGCATAGACAAATTTATTCTCTTTATTTTTCTGGCCGCATTTTAGTGTGTATGTTTGTGTTGCTTTGTTTCATAGTAAATTCTTTGGTATCGTTAAAAGAATTTAGGGCACTGTACATGAAAAATTTAACAAATAATATTTAAACACGTGTTTTAATAATAAATTTATTTAATAATAAATTATTATATTTATTATATTTAAATAAGTTGAAGAGTGATTAAGTCTTCGAATAGGATTAGATCTAATTAAAATTAAATAAACTAAAAATAAAAAATAAAATAATGATATTATATTAATATATTTTTAGTTTTATTATTATTAATATTTAATTATTATATTAATATATTATGTTATAATTTTTTTATTTATAATAAATAGAAATTATATTTTATTTGAAACTAAAATATTTATAGACATGTTTAAATAATACATTTATTTAATAATAAATTATTATATTTGTTATATTTAAACAAGTTAGAGAGTGATTAAGTTTTTAGACAAAAATAAAATGCAATCAAAACAAAATAAACTAAAATTAAAAAATATATATTATATTAATATATTTTTTATATTATTAATTCTGTTATTATTAATATTCAATTATTTAATTATTCTATTAATATATTATATTATATTTATTTTTATTTATAATAAATAAAAATTACTTAAATATAAATTATATTTTATTTAAAATTAAAAATTTATAAAAAATGATAAAAAAATAAAATAAGAAATTAAATATAATATATATATATATATATATATATATATGACTATGTAGCAAATAATATAAATAATATAACTTTAAATAAATTATATATAATAAAAAAATTAACTTGACATGTGTCTTTTTTTTATTGGTATAAATTTTTTGGATACGGTATCTTAAATTTTTTTTAGAGTACCACACATCTTGTTTTGTTTACTTTTTGTTTACTCAACGTTAATTATGATTAAAAATTAGTAGAAAATGAGATGGTTTCTTCTCATTTCAACTTTCGTAATTCCAATTGAAATAAAAGTTGCCAGCGTAAGTATTAAAAAAATTTTTGAAACATGAATCATGTTAACAATTTCCGTGTAAATTTGATTCAATGTTTGACAAAAATTAAAGGAAATATGTTATAGTCAAATAATATTGTGTGATCTTTACGTAAAAGAATGACTTTTGAAAGAAAAAATAAATATTATAAGTTGATTTTAAAATTATAAAATAAATGCAAGTAACTTCTTCAACCTTACAATTACTTTTGGACTTGAATAATGAAGATGAACAAAAGAAATAATGAGTATTCACATCTTTTCTTAATAGACTTGTCAATTAAGCGCTTAGTCCATGACTCATGTCACATATCACAACCCTATTTTTTTAGTTCATAATATTGCAAGAGCTTTTAAGCCTCCACCCACAAATAAGGCTCATCCATGGATCAACCTACAAATAAAAAGTGCAATTATTCAAATATGCATTGTATTTTGAAATTTGTAAATCTTGCCATGTTTTTAAAACTCATATTCTTAATAATTTATAATAAATGATATTTTTGGATTTTTAATTTTATGATTAAAAGAAAAGATAATTAATATAGTAAGTTGAATTGTGTTAAATTTGTTTACCGAATATTATACTGGAGGTTACAACTAAAGAGTGAAAAGTTTTATTGAAAATTTTTCTCTTTAAATTATTTATATTGATTTTAAAATTGTAAATATATTACATCATAATTAAAATATAAAAATTAATAAAAAATGAAATAATGACAAAAAAATAAAATAAAAATTATACTAAAAGGTAGATGGAGTTTGAGAAAAAGAAATATTTGAGAGAAAAAAATTCAGAAAAATAAAAAAATATAGAGAGAGAACACAATTTTGAAAAGAGAGAGAAAGAACAAAGTTATTTAATTTTTCTCTCACCAAAAGTTTATTTTTTTCTGAAAATCTCTCTTTAAAAATCATTTCTCTCTCTAACTTATTTATCTTTCTCTTTTCTCTCTTTAATTTATTTTCTATTATAAATTTTTTCTTTGTCTTAATACTTTATTCTCTATAAATTTTCTCTCTCTGATTTTTAAAGAGAGAGAAAAGAAGATAAAAATAAATTAATTGGAGAGAAAAAAAAAACTGAGAGGAAAATAGACAATTTGAGAGATAAAGAAAAAACAGGGAGAGGATTAAGGAAAAATAAGATGAGAAAAATAGTTTATATAAAAGAATTAAAATATAGAGAGAATTTAAAATGAGAGAGATAATTTAAAAAACAATTAAAAGAGGACAGGTTTTTTTTTGTAATAAAACAAAAAAAAAATAGAGATAGAGAAACAATTTATAGAGAGGAAGAAAAAAAAAGAGAAAGAAAATTTCAATAAGAAATAATAATTCAGAGAGAAAATATTAAAATTAATTAAATAGGCTTTAGAGTTAGCCAATCAACCCATAGAGTGCGATAACCCGTTGGATGAGCATAGTTGAATCATTTGAATGTTAATAAGTTATTTTTAAAATTTTAAAACTGTAGGTTGGCCCAAGCTCATAAGGTTTAATGGCTTTTTAGTTCTCTGAACTTTATATGGGTGAACTTTTAGGGCAGTAGATTATTTTAACCCTAACCCAAATAGATTAAGATTGTGTTGAATTAAATGAACCAATTTGACATGTCTATTTCTTTACTGTTTTGATGAAAATTTGAATGCTACTTCAAATTTAGTGCTCTCCATGGAAAGCATTAAAGACTAAGTAACAATGGATAACTATGTTGACTCTACTTGTGTTATGCTCTCACACCTTCCACTTCTGTTCGAAAATAACTTAGGAAAACGATGTAAAATGTGTTAACATATTTTAAAATTTTAGTGTTATTGGGATGTGCATTGTTAAATTAAGCTGGTCAATTTAGACTCAAAGACATTATATTCACTTGTGGACTCCAATAAAAATGAGTGTGGCTAGTCCACGTTCCACTAATTCTAGTTGTTTTATAGTTCTTCCCCTTTTGGTTGTGTATAGTAGAAGGTTTTTTTTTTCTTCCTTTTTTAAAGAAATAATTGAAAAACCATTTTGTTTTATCTTTTATCTAATCCCTCTATTTTGAAATTATTTGACCCATCAAGAAAGAGTCCAATAGTAAATGTAATTCCAAATTTGCTAATCTTGATCAACTTTCAGTTTGGATTATTATAAAACATAACACCCTTTCCTACATTATTCGTAGACTTTCAAAAGCAAAATGAACCTTCATGAAATCAAAGGTTGTGTTTACGGATCAATAATGATCATTTACGTACTAACCAACTTATCCTTGTGAACGAGTGATTTCAACTAGGGCATAGCTAGAAATTATTTTTTTTGGAGTGGCTAAATAGATAAAATATTATCAAACTAATTAAGTTAAGTAAATAAGTTTAGTTGCATTTTTTTCTTTGTTAACCTCAGTTATGCTTAAATCTATGCATAAAAAATTATTAAAAAAACACATTTATTATATTAAAATTATAAAATTTTAATGAATACTTATTTTTAATAAAATATTACTATTACTAGTTGTCTAAATTTAATACTAAAAGCTTAGGTTAACAATTTTTTCCCTATCTTCCTTATAAGATTGATGTGAAGTTTTTGTTGCTTAATAATCTTTTATTCAAATTTAGTCTTCTATTTTTTTTTTATGAATAGTCCTTTAATTATTACAATCAAATTCTCAACTTTTTTTTTACCCAAAACTCTCACATTCTTATTTTTTATTCAAAAAAAAATAAAGATTTAGGTCATGTTTGATATAGAAAATAATTTAAAGGATTCTCAAGTAAGAAAATTGAATGCATTTATATAGTATGCGATGTTAAGATTTTAAAGATGATAAACATTTAATTTTTCTGATTTTAGGCAAAATGTAATGTTTTGATTGGTATGTCTTAAGTAGGAAAGAGTTTAACATAATTTAATTAGCTTAATTCATGTGAATTTTAAAAGGAAAATAAGAATTAAAAACTTTTAAAAAGGAAAATCAATAGAAGGTCGACAATCATTTCATGGCTACAAGTCGATCATTTATTTTACACATGCATGGTGATGGACAAGAAGGACGATGACAAGGGATTTTTTTTCTTTCTTTCTTTTTAGCGTTTTACTTGTTGAAAATT